ACGATTACTTTGATTTTTACTTAACATTTCTGCGAAAGTCGAATTTCGATGCAGAATTGAATTTCGATGTAGAAGTTGAATTTCGATGTAGAAGTCGAATTTCGATGCAGAAGTTGCATTTAATGTAAAAGCTGAATTTCGACGCAGAATTGAATGTCGATGTAGAAGTTGAATTTCGATGCAGAAGTTGAATTTCGATGTAGAAGTTGCATTTAATGTAGAAGCTGAATTTCGACGCAGAATTGAATTTCGATGCAGAAGTTGTATTTAATGTAGAAGCTGAATTTCGACGCAGAATTGAATGTGATGTAGAAGTTGCATTTCGATGTAGAAGTTGCATTTCGATGTGAAGGTTGAATTTCGATGCAGAAGTTGAATTTCGAAATTGAATAAATTCAATCATAAATGGTATAAGATGTGAATGAAAAGGAAAAATATGCAATTCAATAGAAATGTATATGCAAATAACACGAATAAAATTGCTTAATAAATGTTTTAAAAGAAATATTCAGTAAAATTATCATTAAATTCATTAATATTAAGACAACAAAAGCGGCTGTAACCATTTCAAATTCTCATTGTTTTCCATATACTGTGATAGTTTCCTTTTTGATTTAATTTTTTACAACAAATAGTTTAATATTTCAAATGATAATAATCTATTTAAATGATCATTCTTTTTTGGTTAAAATTAATTATCATACGATCTATTCAACAAAAGATAACAAATCAAATATTCCTATGTTTTACTTTTTGATTATTCGCATTTCAATAAATTATTCAAATCATTTTTAGGGTTTAAGAAATAAATTTAAAATAATGGAATTAATTATTTTACTATCTGTCATTATTAGAATTGCATTGATTTATATGCAAATTTACGCTTTTACTGGAATAATAACTGTACAATTTATTGCAATTTGTTTTAAGAAACGATCGGATAAAAATAAAACGAATGTGAGAGAATTTAAATTATTATTTCAAATCTTTCCACTTCCGATATATCACTTCTAATTTTTTTTTCCAAAGCGCAATTGTTACATTCTATCATTTTGCAACCTAAAATAGCAAAATTGCAGTTATTATGTATGACAATAGTTTAGCAGCTAATTGTAATGTCTATTTTTAGGCTTATCATTTTTAAAATTTGAAATGGATTTATTACCATTTCCATACATCACTTCTAATTTTTATTTTCAAAGCGCAATTGTTACATTCTATCACTTTGCACCTAAAATAGTAAAATTGCAATCATTGTGTGAAACAATAGTTTAGTGTTAATTATAATTTCTATTTTTGGGCTTATCACTTTTTAAATTTGAAATGAATTTAGTACCAAAAGGATTCCATACATCACTTCTGATTTTTATTTCCAAAGCGCAATTGTTACATTCCATTATTTTGCAACCTAAAATAGTAAAATTGCAATCATTATGTAAAACAATAATTTAGTAGTTAATTACAATTTTTTTTCTTTTAGGCTTATCATTTTTTTAAATTTGAAATGGATTTAGTACCAAAAAGAATGAAAGAGAAGAAAAGCTTAAAATGGAATGATATTCTTTTTCATTCATATGATATCGTAAATTTTCTACCAAAATGGATGCATATAAAATATATTCCATTAAATGTTAAATTTTAGGCTCAATTAAAATTTAATTCTAACTTATTGTTTTGTAGAATTTTTACGAAAATAATTTTTAGCAAAATTTAAAACCAAGAGTGATCAGAGAAATTATGATTTCATCCGCACAAAGGAATGCAATTGAGGAAATTGAAAAAGGTTATTACAACGACTAAAATTTATATTATTATTTTATTTGCTCAAATGTTACTTTTGCTTTGTTACTTTTTAACGATGAATATACTTTAAACTTCTTAATGTAATAACTTTAAAGTAGTAATAGTAATTTTAAAGTAATAACTATAAAGTAATATTTTTAAAGTAATAACTTCAATGCAGTACTAGTAGTAGTAGTAGTAGTATTTTAGTAGTAGTAGTATTTTCAGGTCAAATGACTCCAGCAAATGAGGGTGAAACATTAGAAGATGCAAAAAGTAATTGGGGTGCTGTGCAAAAAGTTGAAAGTAGTTCTAAGGTATGTACGTGCAATTGAAAAAAAGAAATGATACTAGAAATTCCGATACTTATCAATTTAATAATTAACAACTGCCCTAATTACCTTTTGTCTTTCATACTGTTAAGTATTATTTTATTTTAATAAATTTTTGAATAAACAAAATTTTCAAAATTATTTTTTACTTCAAAATAATTTAGCAAAAAGAAAGAATTTGATTAAGCTAATAGAGAATTTATTTTATTTTAGGTTCGACGAAAAGTTTTCACACGAAAACACAAATAACGAATGATTTTAGTGATAATTTTTTGTTATCATTTCCCATCTTTCTTTACTATACGTTTTAATTTTTTCTCGCATAATAATCCTTTCATTGATAAACGATTCATTTTTATCATATCTTTTATCTTAGCTTAAATTTATCATTTATCATTTATAAACATTTCTGTTACTGTCTCAAAATAGAAGCGAAATATCTGTGATATTAAATTGATATTATATCATAATTGATTGCATCACATGAACAACATTTGAACTTACATATTTAAATTTATGACAGCTAAAAAACCGAAATAAAAACCTAATAATTTATTTTGTATATTTTGTTATCATTAATACTAAAACTCTATAATATTCCCTTTCCTACTCATTTACTCCTCGCTGATAACTTTTCTTTAACCTTATCATTTTTCTATTGTATATTTTGTTATCTCTAATACTAAAACTCTATAATATTCCCTTTCATTCCCATTTATTCTTTGCTGATAACTTTTCTTTAAGCTTATCATTCTTCCATTAGATGTTTTGTTATCACCAATACTAAAACTCTACAATATTCCCCTTCGTTCCCATTTATTCCTTGCTGATAATTTTTCTTTAAGCCTATTATTCTTCTAATTAATGATGGTGCATAATCATTAATTGACGCCTGGTTATTTAAATTATGCTTTAAAGTGAATATTAGGCCTGTTGCACGATATTGTTTATAAGATCCGTTTAAATGATTGATCCTTAATATTATGTGTTCATAACTGAGCTTCGAGATGTTTAAATTTTAATCAAATTAGATTGTTAATTTTTTTCCGAAATTTTCTTAAGTAATTAATATATGCAAATTTTGCCAAGCAAATATTCTTATTAATATAAAAAATAAATAATATTCTAATTTAAATTAATTTAATAAAACAAAAGTAAGTAAATGTTGCTTATCACTTGCAATTAATATATGCAAATTTTGCCAAGCAAATATTCTTATTAATATAAAAAATAAATAATATACTAATTTAAATTAATTTAAGAAAACAAAAGTAAATAAATGTTGTTTATCACTTATCACTTAACCAATAATTTTTCAAGTCTATATTTCTCGTTCATATAATTATGCTAAATTCGAATTTATTAACTTAGTTGTAATCTCTGACTTAATTTCTTTTGCTATTTCTCATTGTTCAGTAATATCTCGCTATAATTTTGTGAATCAAAGAAAAAGAAAATAAAACAGGTTATTATGTAAAACAAAATTCAACCTATCACATCTGAAGATTTTGACAATTAATCTGTTAAGTGACAGTAACCTCTGTGTAAATTACTGTTACTTGTACCATTTGATTAACAACGAGGATTGATTTACTATGAATTAATTTCAATCTAATAATAAACAGTTCGCTGTTCATTTTTATGGGTGAACAATCCTAAGGTCAGATCAATTATGTCAACCATTTATCGATCAGTTCAGAAGTCAATAAAACCTAACATACATCGCTTTGGTGAAGTTTTCGTGCAACTGTGCTGCTTTGTATAAATTTATTATCTCAAAACGAATTTCTGAATGCGCCAAAATTTTGTTTGCTCATTCATCCATTAGTGATTGTAGAAGGCGAATCTTGCAAACATGAAATAGGGCCTATTACTGTGGGCGACATTGTTGCGTAACTTCCGTATATTTCAGCGTGACCTTTGACATTCATGTTCAAGTTTTTTCGATCGAAACCACTGTTTGTTGATTACGGTAGCAATAGCTGATTAGAGCTATTGTCTTGCGGAATTCTGACTGGTATCGATCCTGAAGGCCTTCCTTTTTCAAATTGTTGCTATTGCTCTTAGAAATGATTTGTACAGCATTACTTATAGAAGGATAAACAGTAATGCCGAACTTACTGCTGGGACAGTCTCTTTATCTGTGCAGCACCCATTCTATGATTCATATATTTCAGTCACTGCTACAAAAACAGAAATAGTCCGGTTTCTTTTCAATTTTTTTCTTATTCACTTAATATCTTCTAATTAATGTTAGCTTTCTTAGAAAATGTTCTTCGAATAATTGTGAATGACCTTTTTTAGTTAATGTTACCGTAGGTTAGGAATTTTTCATCCATAATTCATTAATCATCTATAATTCTTTAACGGAAATTTATAATGTGGTTTTATTATTTTCAGTAAGTATTTCATATACAAGGAGCTCAGCAACTCTCTGCGAAATTTTTCGGCATTTCGCAGTAATCCGTATTATGTATCGTGTATCATGCATTAGCTTTTATGCTGTTTTTGATTTTAGAGGTTTTCTCAATTTCTTCATCTTTAATTTTCCATTTGAAAGTCGTTCCTTGACAGCACGCGAGGGGGTGTTGAGTTTAAAAATGAATAATTATAAAATGACATTTCAGCGCGATGAAAGATAATTCTCTGAATTCACCAAAACCAAAAATGAAATTATCTCCCAGAAAATCTGAAGATCAAGTAGAGGTATTCATATAAACTTATCTATTGTTAGTTTTATGGTTATGCTCCTCGTGTTTAGTATCCAAAGCACATGACATTTTATTTTACTCAAACAATTGCACGATTTCTATGGTTCATTTTACTTATGAGTCTTGAGATGTCTGAAATTTGTCTAACTTCAGAATTTGAAAAATATTTCGTTCGAATCGGATCACACCAAGCCACCATCGAGTCTTTCACTAAGTCTCGGAAATGGTGAGCGGAAAGTAAGTTTAAGTTTTTCAATAAGCCTCGAAAGAAAGGGATATTGTGAGTCCCTGTCCTGACCTTTATTTTAATGTTTTTGACCTTTATTGACCTCATTCTTCAAATCATTCGTTGGCATTTTGATGACATTTTCTTTTTCACTCCGATTCTTTTTCTAACTTAGACAGTTTATATTTTTATGCTTCTAATCGTTTATTGACGGAAAAATTTACTCAACTTTTTCTTTTTTAATTACTTGAAAGTTCTTCCCAAATCGGGAACTGCAAAACTGGAATGTATTTTTAAGCTGAAGCTTCAAGAGTTTCTAGAACTAATCATTTTACGAATGATTATTTTTTAAAATAGTATTATATTTATGGGAAACAAACATGAGATAAAAGTTAATAAGGCGAAGTGCTAAATGCGAGCGAGTGATTGAAATACATTTGGAAGTTCCATGAATTTTGATTAGTTTGTCAATTGCAATATCAAGCGATCATTTGATAATAGAAATAAGTACGAAAAATTCATGGATAGTAAAAATAAGTACGAAAAATTCACTTCCCTCAATGTGTGATGGATGGAAGTAGCCGATGGCTAGCAGGCGGCTGTTAAAGGATGGAGAGATGGGCTGGGACTTCTATATCGTATTGGGAACAATAAACCCACAATGACATTTCGCTATCGATCGGAATCGTCCATTGCTCTTGACATCGTCTTGTTCCTACCATCTGCTGTATCTGTGTAACAAAGGTTGTGTATAGATTGTTTCCATATAATTTAGCAGTATCGCCAATAACATATTATGATGATTATCTTATTTTTTTATTAAGAATATGATATTGCTTTTGAATCTAATCATTTGTATCTGTATGATCGTTTCAAATGATCATTATATCATTACTAATTTGAATGCTTTATCATTACTCGCTTTTTTAATGAACTTTTCATTCTGGAATAATGTTCCAACTTCATGTTACAAAAGGATTTTTTATGAGGTAGGACAGCATCATTAATACCGAGGAGCTCCTTTGTTGGCTTTTTGACTATACGGAATAAATTGTATCACGAAATTGCCGATATTCTCATTTGTTCCTTTTTTTATTTGTATCTCCACATGTGTCTAATCGTATAACTAATATTTGTTGTAACCCTAAATTTTTTTGTGATTTGTTAAGATTCTATTACATAATTCTTTTTTTGTTACAAAATGAAAGTTTTTTCTGAAGATGACGCAGATACCAGCGAAAAAAAGCACTGTGCATCAAGGAACACCTTCAGTTAAGAAAAAGAACTCGCGACGTAGTTCACGATCGCGATCACGTGGTCGCCATTCACGGCGTTCTACACCTCCTAGAAGTTTGGTATGCTCTTTTCGTGGATCGTGATCAGATTTTTCATGAAACCTTGTCTAAATAATATGAAACTAAATAATATATCAGTTTTATCAATGAGCTTAGGTTGACACATCCTATAAAATTAGAATCTTGTAAGTTTTAAGTTATATAGCTTGAATGATGAGAAATTGACAAATGTCATTATTAGCATTATTTCATTTAAGTAAAATAAGAACAATAAGCACAAAAAATTTTTGATGCCAAGTTTGTCCGTCATGTAATTCCTTTTAGGCATCTCAAACCGTTAAAACTGATTCAGCTGAAAAGATATTGCCGGCTCCTGTACGTCGTTCGGTTGTCAATGCTGTCAAAGAAGATTCGACTCCACTTGAAAACCACTCTTTGGTACTTATTGACTATTTGCGAATACCGCTTTCTCCCCTATTAACAAGTGGTGGATACTAGTCAAGTGCTATGATTTTGTTATAAGTAATACTTGTAGATAAATCGGAATGATGGGTGTTCTTTGATGATATATTAGATAACACCTTTTCCTTGTCCGCATTACATAAATCAATGAAAATTCAGAGGTCGCAATGTGGTAGTCAATTAGTTTTTATCCCCATTAAACTCATGCATTGGAAAATCATAGGGTGACAAGATTTTTTTCGCGGAACTGAAGTTAGAAATTTTGTTGCATACCCAGTAATAAATTATTTGGGAGGGCATAATTGATCTAATTATTAAGAAAGCTAAATAGATTCTTTCCAGCAGGCACCAATGAAATCCTACGGAACAGTCTTCGGTATGGAGAAACCCATGAGGCTGTCAAGTTATCTCATTGATCATCCCTACATTCTAACGTTCATTCATCTTTTGATGTGTGTTCTCTATGCTTTCATCATCTACAAGGTAGTGAACTTCTTTGGTGTTGATCGATTCGTGATGAAACATTGGGCGCAATGGAGCAAGAAGATTCGTTCTAACCTATCTCCTTAAAAGTTGTGTTCAGTTATATCGATACACTAACTTTTTTGCATCAGTTTTTCCATTTTTTGTACCTCATAAGTTTATGAAAATTTTTATTTATAGCACAAATCGTTATAATTTGATTCAGCAGCACTACTGCCCATTAATAATAGATTCATAACAAACAAGATATTTATTGTGAATGGTGGATTACAATGGTTTCTAGGTTTTGCAGTTGTTAAAAGCCTTTATTGTTTCTTTTGTTTTTGTTTACATATGATCTTCAAAGCTATGTCTTATTATTTTTCTATTCTTACAATTAAACTATTTTACAATTAGTGTCTAATCATTTGCATGCGAATAAGGAATTCACGGAAAAAGAAAAAAATTCTCATCTATCACGTATTTGAAGAGCACGTTCCCCGGATTTTTTGAACAACTCTCGTATCATAAAGGTTAGGGAATATGTCATATCCTTATTGGTGCACATTGCCTACATTTGATTCTCGAATACTGATAACTGTTATCAATAGTTGCTGGGACAGTTCAACTCTCGTTTCATGTTATTCGTTATCCGAAATAGCGGTCCATGTCCAGGAATGATGCAATCGGCTAAGCACAGCAAACGTTTTCTTGATTCCTCTTGTTGTGTTTCATTAGCTGCCAACTGTTTCCATATTGTCGAATATTTCATGTCTTCTTTTCGTATAAATATATCACCTTTAACAAAATGATAATATTTTCACTAATAAAATTTTCAGTACTTCAATTTTTTTTGCTTTTCTTATTCGATAAGGAAAGTCTGAAAATGTTTAACTATAAAAAAATTAGATAAATGAAAAATCAAGTTCAATTTATCGGTTAATACTTTTTAAAATCCCTCCGACATGTCTTTTCATCTTATCATAATTTTGATTTTCGGAATGAATTGACAATAAATGATAATAATTAATTACATTGACACTTTCGAAGGTTAAAATAATCAATTTCAACTTCTTCGAAAGAAGATTGTCTTAAATGAATAAATATCAATTCAATCAAATTTGAAACGTTTTACTTGCTAGCGATATTAATCATACCGGAAACAATGACAGTGCCAAAAAAGTTTGTATTGTTAATAAGAACAGAGATGTCATCAAATGTGTGACCCGGTGTTTTTAGTAAATAAACATTTTTTGTTAATCTTTCAACATCATCCTGAAATCCTTGCCTGTTTTACAAATATTTCTTGAAAGATAAAAAGGGTTAATCTTTGAATAGTTCCGCATGAAATTTTAATGTAATTTTTATTTTTCAATATTTATTCCGGCATATTTTATTGGACAATTACCAGATCAGTAAATTTCTGTTACCGGCAGATCCGTAATAATTGATTCTGCCATTAATTTAACAGCTTTTTGATTAAAGTAGTGATAATTTTGAAGGAAAAACCTCAAAAATTCTTAGAAAATTGGATTGCCCACCGACATGCATGAATCTTCCGGAAAAATGAAATGCATCGGGGAAATGATTAGTGTTACCGGAATGATCTGGATGACCATGAGTTGTGATCACATAATTGATTGAAGGTGGTGGAGCGCCAAGTTCACTTAATCCTATCGTAAAAATATTGAAATTGTCAAATCAAACATGAATATCCTTTGTTTTTAAATACTTTGAAATAATCAAAAAGTTTTATACACATTATATGAAGGATGGATAATCATATGATTATTGATTAAATAATCGTAATTAATTGAATTATAATGTTGTATGATTATGATTATAATTACAAACTTTGCATCATCCAAGTACGTCCGTTAATATCGGTGGAAAGCCCGGTGTCAACTAAAATCTTTTTTCCGCCATCAATAATAAGTGTAATTGAGGATACAAATTCGTAATCATTTACATTATTCTGCACAATCGAACCCTAAAAAGGATCTCTCGATCATTTTCAATCAATAATACGTAACTAAGCATTATTCTACTTTCTCCCGCTCATGAAGATCATTGCGATTTCTGTTGACCTTTTTTATAGTTTCTCAATGATATGTATGTGATAAGCTTTAATCTCATTAATAAACATTTTGAAATAATGTAAAGCAAGAATAATATTGGATGAAAAGTAAGTAAAAGATACTGTAAGCAGTATTTGTATATATATCAAACAAACAATAAATATACATTATAGTTGAAATAAATTTGAAAAATATAAAAATGATAATTTTTTAATTTAATTAATATCAGAGAGTTAATCAGAGTTAATCAAATACTTAAGAGATAATTTACTTACTTCTCTGATAATATAAATCATCGCATTCTCATTTGTATACGTTTCGGATGTTGTAAATGCAGTTTTTGATAATATCATATCGTTATCTTCCGTTTTGCGCTTACTAATAACAACTGATGCTAATATTTCATGAGGATATCGAGTGCTTCTTTTTAATGCTTCTTAATTCATTTTACTTTAAATTTTTGAAATGAAAAATATGAAATTTAGAAAGTGTATAAATATTGGTAACTTTTACAAAATGTATAATATTATTATTGAAATAGTATGAATATATTTTATAGTATATATGTGAAGTTACTTTGATAACAGTGTTAATATCATGATCTTTTTTGACCTAACTAAATAATATCAATATTTTTTAAATACTATATTCACCATATTATTGTCATTTAATTTACCTAAATGATTCATATCAAGAAATTGTGCAAACCTTGATCTCCAGCAAAAGAATTGTTATTTTCATATGCCCTTTTTGCTTCTTTCATTTCCAAACTTCTAAAAGAGAACAATGATAAGCTGATATAAATGATATAATGAATATGTTTTATAGCATACATGTGATGAGTTAGATAGACTTCATTGATACACTTCACTGATCAGCATGTTTATTTTTATTAAATAAACATGAATAAAAGACATGGATATTAAGTAAACATGAATAATGAATATTCTAGCATATATGTGATAAGAGTTAAACTTCACTGATATACATTAGCATGAATAAATAACCTTTCACTCTTTCATAAACAATTCAATTTGCTATCTGTACAATCAATTCTGTTGCAGTTAAATAATTCGTGTATCATCAGATCATCAGTATAAGATCATATAAGATATCATATAAATATATCATATAAGTATAATATAAGATCATATAAGATCGTGATCATCAGTATAAGAAATGATCAGTTTTATTTATCCATTTATCTTCTCCATCATAATCACAAAGAATTCTGCATTTGCAAGCATACCTGGAAATCACATGGCTATTTTCAGGTTTCCAATCTGGATTCAAACGATGATAAAGAAGCTCAGTGGGTTTCAAATCCGATACAGTGAATATATTTTGTTGAAATGATGATCGAATTGCTTTTCCCGATAATGTATCATTTTTAAGTTTATCATTTTCATTCATTTCATTCTCCTTCGTAATATGACTTTCTGTTGTTTTTCGTCTATCAATCATTTGCTAGAAATCAAATTATTTCAACTATTTTCTAAAATATAATTGGAATTGAAATCTTTTAATGCTTCATACCGGATATTATACCGGATATTATTAATTAGTTTACTCGAAATAGCTATTATAACATGTAATGGAATAAATCCGATATGAGTTGTTTCAATTACAGCAAAAAATGTTGAAATTTCTACTTGTAATAGCAAACTTCCACCTATAATAGCAAAAGTTCAACCTGTAATAGCGACACAATGAAAGTTCAACCTGTAATAGCGACACAATAAAAGTTCTATCTGTAATAGCGACACAATAAAAGTTCTACCTGTAATAGCGATACAATAAAAATTCTACCTGTAATAGCGATGCAAGCCGTTTAAAATCAAATTGCTTTTTTCCGGTAACATTTTTAAGTTGCGGCAAATATGTTGTTGTTTCTGCTTTAGTTTTTACTATTTGTGATTTAAATGTTGCGGTTGATGATGAAGATATTGTCGTAGTTGCTATTCTTGATTTCATATCTATTCTCGGTATAGCAGAAGAAATCGAAATGACTTTTGAACCACTTCCAGTCATCATATTGAACTATATTCGAAAATAAGTTATTTGTTTTAAAGCAGAAGTATAAGTTGCTGAATAAAAAAGTAAGTTTGTCGTTTCCTTATTTAGCTAAGAAAAAGTGCCTGATTACAATTAACCGGAAAATATTATATTTTCATGAACATATATATACTAAGCAACTTAAGCTAAGAAAGAGCGCCTGATTTTAATTAACCGGAAAATATTATATCTTCATGAACATATACTAAACAACAAATAAAATTGTTTAAAGGTTAATTTTTATGAATCATTCAAAATTTTAAATTTTATGATTTATAATACCCTTTCGTGCTATTTTATGATATTGATAGTTATTAAGGAGATAGATTATCATCAGTGAGATTGAGTAGAACTGACTAGTTCTCATAATCTCGTCTATTGCATTAACCTTTCAACTTTCATCTAAAAGAAACAAACAACTAACATCACCGCCAATTTTCACAATATTTGTTTTCGCTGTTGTTGAAATGCTACTACTCGTACTGTTATTGTTTGACTGATCGATAAATATTTCTTCAAATGGTAATTTCGAAACAGAACCTTTTCCACGTCGAACAAAATCATGAAGCCAATTCATTGAATTATTATTTAACGATTTCAAAAGTTTTAGATGGCTCAAATCTAAAATTTTATAAAAATTATAATTTGAGAGATTGTTTGTTTAATTTCAATTTAAATTAGCTAATAATTTAATTAGCTAAAATAGAAATAAGCCAAAAATTCTTTCATTTTCAATTCAATTTATTTCAGGCCATTTTAGCTATATGTATATAATTATAGTTATATATTATTAATTTACAAGATATTGTAATGAATTAACGATAGATTAGCGATCGACGCTAAGGATTTAAAAACTTTATTAAACGCTTAAAAACTTGCTTTCATCAAGAAGTATTGATCGAACGATAAGTAATGAAAAAATAGTTAAAAGAGAAGAGGAAATATTGGATGACATCGTCTTAGAGGATTATTTAACTGTTATTCAAATTTCATCATACCATAAAAAAAGTGGGTTAAATCGATCAATTCACACAATCAAGAGGAAAAGATAAGTATTCATAATTACTTTTGCGCATACGGCGCATATAGTTATATGCATATAATTTATAATTATATATTATTGATATTTGTGTCACACAAATTGAAACTGAGGGATTGCATTTTTTTGAATTATTCCTCAATACTTCATTTTTTTTCTTCGCTTCAAAAATTGTTGTATTATTTCTATCAATTAAATTTATCGTTAATTTCTAATTAATCTAATTAAAATTTTTAATCGTATCATTTCATCTAAAAATATTTATTACTTTTAATTTTCAATTTCATAACAATTTCGTGCGTAGAAGATATAGAACTTTGTAATATCTTATGGGAAATTTATTGATATGATATAAATTAAATATGATATATATAAACTATTGATATAAATTAAAAACAAAAGTTAAAAAAAATGATTAAAAATTTATTATAATTGATAAAACAATGTAATGATAATTCGTTTATCAGCCATTTTATCATTTTGATAATTGAAATTTCACCACATTGCCAATATCTCTCACATAACCATTTCTTACAAAATATGGTTTCTGGAAATTATTAAGTTAATTAATTAATTGCTGGCATAAAGCAAAAATCAAATTCACAAATTATATCTTAAATAATTTCATTTATAATAATACACTAAAGATGCATAAATTGAATTAATAGAGGAAATTGATGAAAAATTACTATCCATTGTTTCATCCATTTATCAAGCAAAACGTTTAATGATAAGATTGAAAATTTATTAAATTTAATTATACAAAGTTGCAGAAGAATTGCCTATTACTATTAAGTTACCTATCACTGTTAAGCTGCCTATTACTATTAGATTGCAGAAAAACTGCCTATTACTATTATTCTTGAAAATGAAAAATATAATTTGCAAAACAAAGGAAAATTTACGACATACAAAAGGATTTGGTAACTGTCTGTTATGTGCAATAATTCCGGAATGTAATAATGCACTGTCACCAAATAATAATAATAGATTTATTGAAAGTAAAAATAAAATTTGAAAATGACCAGCCATCTCTGTTTGACACTTTCTCTTTTAATTTGAAAAGCTTCCTGAAAAATTTCTTTTATACCAAATATGAAATATTCAAATTAGTTTTCGATAGTTAATCTGTTCTTCTTGAATTGCACGATTATGTAAAAAGCAATTTTTAATAAACAGCTTTAAAAGTTGGCATTAAAATGAACGTCTAGAAATTGAAATGAATTGTTAAAAATTTAAAAAAATATTAGTGGTACTTGAAATATGAAATGGATTACCTATTATATTCTATTATATTTCAAAAGTCTTTGTGTAAAACAATAGAAATTAAATAGTGCAAATAAATTGATTGGTTCTGCTTATTCATTCGAATTAGTAAAAAGTTCATTAAGAAATGAAAATATTGATGGTACTTGAAATATGAAATGGATCACCTATGGTACTTGAAATATGAAATGGATCACCTATGGTACTTGAAATATGAAATGGATCACCAATGGTACTTGAAATATGAAATGGATCACCTATGGTACTTGAAATATGAAATGGATCACCTATTATATTCTATTATATTTCAAAAGTCTTTTTGTAAAACAATAGAAATTAAATAGTGCAAATAAATTGATTGGTTCTGCTTATTCATTCGAATTAGTAAAAAGTTCATTAAGAAATGAAAATATTGATGGTACTTGAAATATGAAATGGGTAACCTAATATATTCTACCATAATTCAGCAGTCTTTTTTGTGTAAAACAATAGAAATGTTGGAGAAATTAAATAGTGCAAATAAATTGATTGATTCTATTTATTCATTCGAATTAGTAATAAATTCATTAAGAAATGTAATACGAGAAATGCATGAATTATTTGAAATTTTATTTAGATTTAAATATCTTCCGATTATAAGTGGTACCCAAAATAAATGGACAAAAATTTTCCTATTCCCGCAAACTCTAAACTATTAAACGTTAAATATCGTGACGAAATATCGGGATGGAAAATGTTGCAAAAGTTATTGCTAAATGGATAAATGTTGCAAAAGTTACTGCTAGTGGATAAATGGGATGAATAAATGTTGCAAAAGTTATTGCTAAATGGATAAATGTTGCAAAAGTTACTGCTTATGGATAAATGTTGCAAAAGTTACTGCTTATGGATAAATGGGATGGATAAATGTTGCAAAAGTTACTGCTAAAGGCAACTTAGAAAGTTTTTACTAAACCAGACAATATCAAATTACGGAAAGCTAAAACTGTCGCAAATTTCAAAATACATTGTAAGCAAAAAATATTTCAATTTTAAATTTTTAATTCAATATAGAATATTTAAAAAATTTTTTGGTAATTTTCTATTAACAAATTAACAATACAAATTTTCAGCAAAAATAAACAAAGAGAAGCGTTTCCAATCTGTGATGCATTTATCGGATCGTTCAATCTGAGATACATTTATCGGATCGTTGATACCAATCACACCATTGAAATTGCTTTGGCCAACCTTGGCGCATTGTATGAAGTTTTTGAACACATGTACCCATAGATCTGAAATATACAATTTCTGTTTCGTATTTATAAATTTATAAATTCACATATCCATAGATCTGTTTCATATTCATAAATTTATAATAATAAATTATGATTCATATTTTTAGGGGAGTTTTAGGAGTGTTCAATTTTGTTAAATACTATCACTTTTTCATTTCATTTTAATTCTCAATTTCCACTCGAATGATTTCCATTTTATTTTAGACTTTAAATTCAGTATCTTACGTATCCATGAATCTGTCTCATTCATAAATTTATAAATTTATATTAATAAATTATGATTCATATTTTTAGGGAGTATTCAATTTTGACAAATACTACCACTTTCTTATTTCATTTCAATTCTCAATTTTCACTCGAATGATTTTCATTTCATCTTAGGCTTTAAATTCAGTATCAATCAGAAAACAAAATGATAATTAAAATTAAAAGTGAAATAAAATAAATTCATACGAATAATAGGGTTTGCCATAAAAATTACATCGCGGACAGAGTGCGACAATTTCTTGCGATACAACCGTTTGATTCAACAATGATGTAATATTTGCAATAAGCAACTAAAAAGTTTCAATTTAAATTTCACATTCCAATACTTGAAATTGAATTGTCAACAACAGAAATAATTGATTTTAATTTTAATAATAATTGATTTTAAATTTTAATAATTGATTGATTTTGTTTTCTTTGTTTTAGATAAATCTTATCCCATTCCAAAAATTGAATAATTCAAAAGTTATATTTTACTTTTTGGAATTACGAATTTTAAAATTACGTGAAATTGAAATGATGCAATTTCTATTAATTCCAAAAAATACAAAATGAATTCATTTTTTATTATCTTCAAATTATTCTTAATCTTTCATATATTTTCAGGTGGGAATTAATTTTTGGAAATTAATTAATTTCTATTTTAAATTTCAAACATGAAAGGGATCAAATTCTTACGATAGACTGGCATAGGTTAATTATAAAATTAATTTCAAAGCTAAAATTTTATAAGATATTTATGTATCGAATTGTCATGAAAGGGATCAAATTGTTGAATGCATGATAACTGGCACTAAAATTTTATATGGTATGTCGAACTAATTAAAGCTCATTCAATTATATTTTAATTTAAAATTGAAAAAGAAATGACAGAAAACATTTAGCCAAGAACATTTAGCTACCTTCACTTTCACCTACAGGTATATCTCTTAAACCTTCGCATTGGTTAGAAAGCATTTAGTCAAGACAAGAATGATTTCTATTTTAAATTCTTCGAATAAAAATGGACAACTTATTGACAGTACCTTAACAAATAGATCGCTTGAAACACCTTCACTTTCACGTACAGGTATACCCCTTAAGCCTTCGCATTGTTCATAAGGTAAATTTGCTAAACTATTGCATCGTACACTTTGATCGAAACATTTCGTCTAAAATTCATTTTAATGCATTTAGGAAGAAATTTATTGTAAGAATTATTTGCTTAATTAAAAAACAAAGAGAAACTTTTTGTTTAAACAAATGCTAAAATTCCTAAATTATTTTCAGTGAAAAAACTTAAACATTTTTCGACAGATAATTTAAATTCTTTAGAAAAGAAAACAATGAAATATTGCAAAATTTGCAGCTGTCAATAATTTCCAAAGCTTTATCAATAAATACAGAATGCTATGATTGGATTATCATCCTTTTCACCAACTAATTCAAAAGGTTATTAATTTTTTTTAAATTAAGAACTTTTATTGAAACTAAGAAATTGTTCTCTTTTCTTTTAAATTAATGATGAATGACCTTTCAAAATTATTAATGACACCTTTATACAAATAAATCAATTGCATGTAAGGTAACGTTTCATTGTGAGTAACTTAAATTTTAAGTAACCTTTAATTGATCGCTAATTAACTTTATGTAACTTTTAATTGATCATTAATTAACTTTAAATAACTTTTAATTGATCATTAAAAAACTTTGAAAGTATAACTTGTGAAAAAAGTTTAATAGATTTAGCAAATTCTTTGTTCTCTCCCTCGATGGATCTGAGAGTATTGGAATGGAAGAATTTGTTATTTACGAAATTTAACAAATGATAAATTGTGTTATTATTTAGTATAGTCGTAATGAAGAGGTCAGGTAGCTGCGATATTTAGAATTTAAAGTTTAAAAGCGATACTATGTAAAATCTTTGATTTATGCCTTTCTCACTTTGTAGTGTGCAATTTATAACCGAATTGAATTATGATACCTATCACATAATTATATAAGATTATCAATGAAATCATAATGGATTATCAGTGAAATCATAGTTCACATGTTAATAGAGTTATCAATCGGTTTAAAAACTTTCATAAACCGAATTCGGTATGCAATTACATTGCATTGATTATTAGTTGTAGCAATTTGATAAATTATTGTTTCAATCTTGCCGATAAAATATCCATTCCTCATCACACTCTATCTTATCGTCAAGATTATTCCTCTATTCACTAAGTTTGTAATATTAAATGAATTTTTCGGTCTTTCATTGAATTTAATGAATTTCAATTGAAATTTATTACCCAATGACTCATATCAATACATGTTTTATCAAAATTATTATTCATCGTTCTCAATGGTCGATGTACAAAAGCTGCATTACCACAATCATTGCATTGATCCTAAATAATAATATAAAATATGAAATATTTATCAAACTTTTATTAGTTCCTTTTAAAATTGTAAATTATATCCAAACTTAATTCTTATTATTTAAAACTATAAATCTTTCGGCGATATATAATTAAAAAGCTTTAGTGTTAAATTGATTTCAGAAGTAGCATATAGTTAAATAGTCTTCAATCTATACATTTTAAACTTGCAATAATTACAATCTTTCTTCTCTAAGAAGAAGTAATGGATCATTTATTACTTAGGTAAAAAGTTTATTATCATTTCAATGTTTATAAAATTCCGCATAGATATTAATTTAGAAAAGTAAATTCTTTTAATTTGTAAATTTTTATTTAAAAGAAAGCTACCAATAATTCTCTTCTTAAATATTATATTTTAAGTTAATAATTCTATTCTTAAGTATCATATTTTAAATTAATAATTCCATTCTTAAGTGTTATATTTTAAATTAATAATTATATTCTTAAGTAATGTATTTTAAATTAATAATTATATTCTTAAGTAATGTATCTTAATTAATAATTCCATTCTTAAGTGTTATATTTTAAATTAATAATTCTATNTATTCTTAAGTAATGTATTTTAAATTAATAATTATATTCTTAAGTAATGTATCTTAATTAATAATTCCATTCTTAAGTGTTATATTTTAAATTAATAATTATATTCTTAAGTAATGTATTTTAAATTAGTAATTCTGTTCTAAAGTATGATATTTTAAATTAGTAATTCCATTCTTAAGTATTATATTTTAAATTAATAATTCTATTCTTAAGTATTATATTTTAAATTATTAATTCTATTCTCAAGTATTATATTTTAAATTAACAATTCTATTCTTAAGTATTATATTTTTTTACATAAGTTTTTTTTTTTTAAATTTACAATATCAGCTTCAACACTGAAATTATAATTGCAATGAAAGAAATTGATTTGATTTTCGTATCGTAGAATAAATTTATTTTCATGACGTGTAATATGTAAATCATTCTGAAAAAGAAAAATATATAAAAATAAATTTATCAGATATTATGTATTTGTTTTAATCATTAATACATATCTACCATATGTGTATGGATGATAAGGGAATAAAAAGAAAATGATAGGAGATAGAAAGAATGTTAAAGGATGTTGAAAATTGTTGAAAATTGTCGGAAAATTTTTTTTATCTAATCTTTTGATAAAATTCTTTTGAAATCATTAAATAAATTAAAATATTAAATTAATACTTAAAAAAAATGCGTTAAATCTTTTAAGTAATTTTTTGGAAATTGTAAAATTGAAACAAACCACTGATAAATTATAATATATTATAACACCAAGTAGTAGCAGTGCAAGAAATACGGCATTTGCAGTTAAAATACTTGTTATATACAGGCATGATTTACGACGTAGTAGAAATCGTATTGAACGATAAATTTTTCTACTATGCCTAAAGAAATTAAGTAAGATAAAAGTAACAAATGCTAAAATAATATCATTATCATTCCTAATAAAAAAATCATGATAATGAATTTTATTCTAAAATTAAAACTATATTGGAAAAAAGAAATAGTAATTCGATTAATCAATAAATCAAATAAAATTAAATAAAATGACCAAAAATTTTTTAACTTATTTATCGTATAATAATAAATTTAATTAAGCTGTCATTTAAAGAATTTAAATGTAAAATTAATTTTTCAAATTTACTTACATTTGGAATAATACAACCACCCATATATAGAAATATCTTTAACATAAAATTAATTCCTATTAGAGAATCGATTAATGAATTTTAAATATTCAATTCAGCAAGCTATTCAATTTTCTTTGTACAGCTATCAGTTATTGCATAGTATTGTTGAATTTGCATATTTGTACCATAATGATAAGTAGGAAAGGCAATTTGTTTACACTTATCGTAATATAAATTTAATTTTAACAATTCATTTTATGCAAATTACTCATTAATGTTAGTTTGTTTACTTGTTTGTATGTTTGTTTATTTGTTCGTTTATTTGTTTGTTTGCTTATTGGTTTGTTTGTTTGTTCGTCACTTCTTTAATTCTTTTATTTACATTTGTTGCATTTTTTCAAATTGTATGAAAAACGTCTAAGATTTTTGTTGAATAATCTAAAATTAAACGAGTTAATTTCACTTTTGCCCAATATTAATTATGCAAAAACAAAAGAAAGCTGAAAAGCTTATTTTAAAATTTTCAACAAAATCATTTTGCTTATTTTTATTCAAAATCATCGGCAAAATTCAAATCGAATTATTACATGTGAAAAATTTTTGCATAAATTTAAAAATATGAAATTAAAAACTTTCTATATTCAAAATTGTACATAAATTTATAATTAATACTAATTAATATCAAAGACTTAATTCAAAAAAAATTTAACTTAAATTTGATAATTTCAAAATTTCAATCCTCCTACACAATAATGTGACATAATTGTAATAATTACACACAGATATTAGCGGTGTAATTGTTTAATAATTCACAAACAAAATAAAATAATTATTTAATTAAGAAAAAAAATGCAACATTGAGCACATATTATTTGTAGGCGGAAAAGTTTGCTTAAATGTTTGAATAGGCCGAGAAAGTAATATTTGCGCACGGCGATAATAATAATAATAATATTAATAAGGGTAACCCATATCTGAAATTTAAATAATTCAGGTTATTCAACATTTAATAATCGATCGATTAAAATTGCCAAATATCTTTTACTTTTTAATAGGTATGATAAAAATTAAGATTTTTTGACTGTAAAAAAATTATGGAAATTACTAATTTGAAATTTACTGAAATGAATAATTTTTCTTTTTTGCTATAAATACCTATGGAATTTATCATTTATCATATTTCTTTTTATCATATCTTTCTTATTGTTTCAATTGTTTTAATTGTTTTAAAATTAAAATTATGAAAAACAAAAAAATTAAAAACTTATCATATTTCTTTTTATCATATCTTTCTTATTGTTTATATTATTTGAATTGTTTTAAAATTAAAATTATGAAAAACAAAGAAATTAATTTATAAAAATTCCTAACCAAACAAAAAAAGGGAACATAATGAATAACAGATTTCCATTTTAGTAATTTATGCTTTTAAAATAATCGGCAAGAGCTCCCGTTGTTTTGCTGCATTGTTCCGGTTGTACGCCACCTTCGTATATTGAAATTATCACTGCTGGAAAAAAAAATTCAAAACTAACATACGATCAAATAATCAGGATAGATGTATATTTGATATGATTGAGACTAAATTATTTCATCTCAATTATCATTATCCGTTATGCCGAAAAATTTAATTTAACTAATCGTATAAAAAGCATAAGGTATGAAAGGTATAAATAGCATAATTTAATTTCAAAAAAAAAAAAATTTAATTTAACCGATATATATATATATATATAATTTATACATATATATTTAACCGATATATTAACTATTTAACCGATAAAAAATTTAATTTAACCGATATATATATAATTTATGAAAGGTATGCTACAAAGAGATTTCACGAAATAGTTTTTGTAATATAATTTATTGAATATTTAATTTTCTCTTCGCATATTTCATGAATTATTTTATACATAATACTTTTTATGAAATTCATATAAAGTAAAATATATATATATATACAGATAACGTAATTGTCTTACCTTGTCCAGTTTTATAAATGAAAAATCCGGTTGATCCTCTTTTTCCAATAATTCTTTCATCATCAGCTTGTAGCACAAAATATTTCTCTCCCTCAAATTTCATACCCGTTCCTAATAACGTATCTTTATTTTGAAATCCTTTACCAGCTGCTGCAGCTTCTGCTGCATCTAACTGAAATTTAACTATTTACTTTACTATTTAATTTTAATTCTTTTATTTCTGAAATTAACAATCAACTTTATTAATTAACTTTATTAAATAATTATTTATTTGTTTACTTTTGTTTTCGAATAATTAAAATAATTACAGTGTAAATTACAAAAATAAACAATTTACAACAAATTTCGCAATTCATTCATCTTCTTTGATATTTTCCCTACTTTTTTTCTTTCCCAATTTTTTTAAACAAATTTGACCTTTCATGACAATTTTCGACAATTGCGCATGACAATTCCGCTTAAGATTATTTGACATTACCAATCAATGCAGTAAATATTCTCGGTGAGAAAACAGAGCATTCTTTCATTACAGCAGCTCATCGATTCAAATAGTTTAAAATTCATTTTTCATTTAAACAAATTTTTTAAATTCATTCTTTTTCTCTTTCTCTCATCTTTTTCTCTTTCTCTTTTCATTCCTTTACTTCTTTAATCGAATATTTCGCTATTATTCAACTGAAGCTTTTATCTTTGATATGCTATTAGTGTAGATGATTAATGATTTCTTTTTAAACAGAAAATGAAGTAACGAATTCATTTTTAATGATTTTTGATTTATGATTAAGTAAAAGATTTCGAAAGAAATATTTTTTAACTATATAATATAGGCCTATATTAGCTATATTATATAAGCTATATTAGCTATATTATATAAGCTATATTAGCTGTATTATATAAGCTATATTATATATTAATAAATTTAGAAAATAATTTCACTGATAAATTTTAATTCTTCAATTTTTGTTTTATTTTATACGATTAAGTAAAGGATTTCGAAACAATTATTTTTTTGTTATGGTACCACTAGTACCATTATGGTACCATTATGGTACCACTAATAAAAAAAATGATATTAATAAGTTTAGAAAATAATTTCACTGATAAATTTTAGTTCTTCAATTTTTGTTTTATTTTATACAATTAAGTAAAAGATTTCAAAACAATTATTTTTTAGCTATATTGTATAAACTATATTAGCTATATTATATAAGCTATATTATATATTAATAAATTTAGAAAATAATTTCACTGATAAATTTTTGATTCCTCAGATTTTTGTTTTATTTTATACGATAAGTGAAAGATTAAGCAAAAGATTTCAAAACAATTATTTTTTGGCTATATTATATAAACTATATTAGCTATATTATATAAACTATACTAGCTATATTATATATTAGTAAATTTAGAAAATAAATTCATTAATAAATTTTTGATTCTCAATTTTTTATTTTATATGATAGATCTTTTCTTTTTGCTTTTTTTTTTACAATTTAAACCATAAATTAAACTTATTAAATATTTGACAACAAGCGAATTAATTAGTAATAATTAATTCCAACACTTTCACTAATTATTGCATACTGCGAAAAAACAAAATGAAATTTTTTTTAAAACAATAATTTTAAAATAATTGAATAAAAATAAAAAATGAAATCTTTTGTTTATGAAATTAATATATTTCTATGTGGTATATTTTAGTTGGTACCACTGTGGTACCACCAAAAATTTCAATTAAACCAATTTCTTTTCATTTTAAAACTTTGATATTAATTGCTTAATTTTAATTTATTTAAAATTTATTTCATTAATTAACAAAATTAATTGTTTTTTAAATATAAAAAAGATAAGAATCCTTTATGGAAAAAGAAATGAGAGGAAATCCATTCTTTCCTAAATTTAATAGCTTACCTTGAAATTATCGGATTTTCCCCAAATTGATCCATCAAAACCGCAAATTGCAGCTTTAGAAACATTACCGGAACCAACCAAATTATTATTAACCAAATCAGCCCAAGACATTCTTTAATCACTTGTAAATAAGGATGATGATGATGATAGGATAATATTGATGAAACAATAAAATACTGATAAAACGATGTGTTTTGTGTTCACTGTATTAATTAATTAAAATTGAATTCAATAGCAAATGAGGTCACCTGAAAAAGAAAATTAATTGAAAAAAAGCGCAAAATATTTTATTCGATTTTCTAAAAAATTGTTTATAATCGATTGGTAGCAAATATTTTTATAATACTTAAAAATATTTCTTTCATTAAATGCCTTTTAATTATTTAATTAATCTGACCTTTTAGAGAATTTCTTTTTTATTTCAATTACCGCCTATTAGATTACAAAGAGTGCTAAACTTGAACTTTCTTCCCACAACAAATAACAACAAATAATATAAATGCTAAGAGTAACTGAGAAATTCTTAAAGAGTGCAATTGTTAATTAACAATATTCATTATTGCGCCTTACAGTTAGAGTCAGCTGAGAATAATTTGCACTTTATATTAATTGCATCTTAGAGGCAGCTGAGAATTAAGTGAATTTAATATAAATTAATTGTACTTATGCATCAATGATTTTTATTTCATTTTATCATTACTATTACAAAATTATCCGGTTTTCATATATTTATTTATTCAAGTACAAATTTTATTTTCTTCACTAAAATATTTATTGATAAACGAATTTCAAGAGAGGAAGAGAAAAAGTAAACAGGAAGAAGGAATGAGAGAGAGAGAGAGAGAGAGAGAGAGAGGGAGTTATCGAAGAATTAGAAAAATTAAAATTTGACGAAGAAAAAGATTATATAAGAAAAATATAAATTTTATAAATTAAATAGGTATAATCATTTAAATACGAATAAAATATATATTATAGCAATTTCTTAAATTCTAAAATGTAAACTATTAGATCGGTAAGGAGAAAAATTCATCGGAAAAGGATATTAAGACATTTCAAAAATTTTCAGTAACATTTTAAATCCTGAAATCATTTTAAAATCGATAAATGTATGTATTTTTTTATTAAGACATTTCAAAAATTTTCAGCAGTATTTTAAAAATGTCATAATCCTAAAATCAATTTTAAAATCAATAAATGCATGCAAAGGATGTTAAGTCATTTCACAAGTTTTCAGTAATATTTTAAATCCTGAAATCAATTTTAAAATCAATAAATATATGCGTGTGTGTGTGTGTGTGTGTGTGTGTGTGTGCGTGTGTGTGTGTGTTGTGTGTGTGTGTTGTGTGTGTGTGTGTGTTGTGTGTGTGTGTGTGTGTGTGTGTTATATATGAATCTTTTAATGTATAAGAAATGTATATCATAATTCTTGAATGAATAGGAATTAATTAATTGTTTCGAAATTATTTTTAGGAGCGTAAAGAATTCAATTTAATGCTTTTTATTAGCGGCACATTTTAATGATATCTTCAAATTTCATTATGAATTATAAATAAAAGATATTTTTGTTTATCTAATAAAATACACATTTTTATTCGGCGATAATAGTTATTAAAAATATTTTATCAATTATAACAAGAAATTATAGAGTTTTATCTCGGGTCACTCAGGTCATTTAAGATTACAATAATTTTACATATAATAACAGTTAATGACATATTTGAAAGGTAAGAGGATTTAATTCGGTTTTTAGTAAAATCTTGGGAAATGTTTTAAATGGAATGAGTGGGCGTCAATTTGATAGAGGTTAAGAGAATTTTATTTTTTAGGTTGACCTTAATTTTTTGAGTTGAAATTTTGAATTTTATAAAAATAAAATAATTTAGATGGGAAAAAACAAGTAGTAGAGAAAGTAGGGAGCAACACTGAAAATTCATAAAGAAAATAGAATAAAATTGAGGAAGCAAAAACTTTGAGTGATGAAGCATTTCATTTCAATTTCATTTTCACAAGCAAAAGAAATTGAACTTGAAAGTACATTTCAAATGTGAAAAAGAAAAGAGGAAGAAAAGGAGAGAGAGAGAGAGTGAGAGAGAGAGGGGGAGAGAGAGAAAAAATATATTTTTTTAAATGAGGATGAATAATATATGATGCTTTTTTGATATATCTTATCATTACTGATTTTATCCACTTAATTATTATCAATTACTATAGGCAATTTTGATCTATAATCAATTCCATACCAATCATATATATACGTGTGATAATTGAAAGAAAGTTTAGCTTATCAAAAAGTATCCAATATAAAAATGATAATTGATTAATCGATCATCTCTTCTTCATCCATCCTATATCTTCTCATCTGCCTCTTTTATAATGTAATATCATAAAGTATCAAAGAAACAAAAATAAGAAAATATTTTTTCATTAAATAAAGGTTAAAGGTTATGCTTTAAGTAGGTTGAAAAAGATGGAATTTAATATTTGAATGAAGAATTAAGTTAATGAAAGGAAGCGGCTAGTAGTTGTTGCTGTTTGTAGTAATAAATGAATGCAGCAGTAGTAGTAGAAGTAATTCGTTAAAGTAGCAGCTGTTCCCTTCTATTCATCCCTATTTCTCAACCTCTAACTTTTTCCTTCATTCCTTCTTCATCTCTTTTCCTGTAGCTTTAAGAGGAATTTTTCATCTCTTCCATCTCCTCCTCCTTCTCCTTCTTCATCATTTCATTCATATAAAGCTTTATGGGTCATCCATCTTTTTTATTAGTTATATTGAAGAATTGAAATCCAATCCAATTGATTCAATTGTATATCCTTCCCGCAATATCTCATAGGTAGGAATGAGGTCATCTTCACAAACAACAACAATAACAACAACAATAACAATAACAATATCCGCTATTAATCCTTTCTAACAAATATTCAGTAAGTCTTAAATTAGGATCATAAATTATTGAAGTTAGATTCCAACTTATTCAAGTATTATATCCCTCCAGCAATATCATACAGGCAGGAGTGAGATCATCCATCCACACAACAACAACAACAACAACAACAATAACAATATCCGCTATTCTTTCAACAAATATTCAGTAAGCCTTAGATCAGCATCATAAGTTAAGTTATTAGATTCCTACTTATTCAAGTATTATATCCCTCCAGCAATATCATACACGCAGGAGTGAGATCATCCATCATCACAACAACAACAACAACAACAACAACAACAACAACAACAACAACAACAACAACAACAGCAACAACAACAATATCTGCTCTTAATTCTTCCTAGCAGATATTCAATAAGCCTTATATCAGCATCGTAAGTGAAGTTATTAAATTCCAACTTATTCAAGCATTATATCCCTCTAGCAATATCTCACAGGCAAGAGTGAAATCATCCATCCTCACAACAACAACAACAACAATATCTGCTCTTAATTCTTCCTAACAAATAATCAATAAGCCTTAGATTACCAAAATTAAAATTTCGTTATTTTGAATTAATAAAAAGCTATCTAAATTTATGAATCACAAGAAAATTAAATTTTAATTATTCTATGAATCATTGCATGAAATTATAATGCTAAAATTTTTATTCAATTTATTAAAATAAACTATGCAATAAAAAATTGTTTGCTTTCATTTTTCACAAATAAAATATTCATCTAAAAGAGCGAAGCTATTTTAATTCATCCAATTTTTGCAACGTATCATCACTTCGTGATATGCCATTAATTGGTGATGCAGCATCTTCATCTTCTTCTTTCAACAATGATGTTATATTAATCTATAAATGTTATTGATTTTGTTATTATTATTTGTTTATTGATAATGATAAGAGGTAATTGAAATAAGCGAAAATATTAATAATAAGACTGATAAAGAACAAAAAAAAATAGTAAACAAAAAAGAAAAACAATTAAAAAAAATGATAAGAGAAACAATGATATTATATTAATCTATAAATGTTATTGATTTTGTTATTATTATTTGTTTATTGATAATGATAAGAGGTAATTGAAATAAGCGAAAATATTAATAATAAGACTGATAAAGAACAAAAAAAAATAGTAAACAAAAAAGAAAAACAATTAAAAAAAGTGATAAGAGAAAGAGTTGAAAATAATTTTCAATGATTTTAAGAAGAAAATGGTAAGTTGAAAAATTTTTTTTTGAGGAAATGAAATGAGAGAAGAATGTTTTGAAGGTCGCTTGATGGATAAATTTTCGAGGAAGTTGAAAGCTCTTGACAGTTGCTCAAGCGGAAAAATCAATAATAAAGCAAAATTAGCCTTTCGTTTTTTTTTTTATTTTAAATTAATTTAAAATTTAACCAACCGTTCATATTATAAATTTATTATCATCCCACAATATAATATAATTAATCAACCATTCACATTATAATAAATTTAACAATATGATATAAATATAATAGAAGTTTGAATTACATATTATTATAAATTTATTATCATTCCACAATATAATATAATTAACCAACAGCTCATATTATTATAAATTTAACAATATAATATAAATATAAAAACTTATCATTCCATAATATAATATAAGTTGAACTACATATTATTATAAATATTATTATCATTATCATTCCACAATATAATATAATTAACCAACAGTTCATATTATTATAAATTTAACAATATAATATAAAATATATAAATTTATTATCATTCCACAGTATAATATAAGCTGAATTATTTTGAAGCTATTATTTTTCATAATTTTTATTCTCCCTAATTAGCATTAATTAATTGTTAGTTTACGAGGCATAAATATTTTTTTAAAGTTTCTAAGCAAAATTTAGGAAAAAAACCATGCAAATGAGTTTATTGTTTATTTTAATTATTTAATATAAATTTGCTTAAAAGAATAATATGAAAATATTTTAGGTGAAACTATTAAAATTGAATATAAATTTGTTGATGAAATTTTATCAGTTAATTTAAATTTAAAATAAATATGTTTGATTATTTTTAAATGATAACAATATATATGAATGATAATGCTTTACTTTTAATTAATATAATTACTTCTTATTTATAATAAAACCAGCATTATCATAGATATCTTGTCCAGCAATCTTATCATGTTATCTTTTCTGGTGATCTTAACATCTTATCTCTTTTAGTAATCTTATCATGTTATCTCTTCTAGTAATCTTATCATATTTCTTCTACAATCTATATAAATTATTGTAAATGTATATCATTTGATCATTTAACATAAAATTTATAATTAATGAATGAAGAAGAAAAGAAAAGCAATTATAAATTTTGTATCATAAAATTGTTATTTGCAGACTTTTCATAATATTTACTCGATGATATTAATTAATTAATATCTAACTTTTTAAATTCAGAAGATTAGAAAAAAAGAAAAACAATCGGCATATTAATTAGTAATTAACAAATAGTATTAATTACTAATTTACTACCTCATCTTCGATCGTTTTAATTCCCATTCGAGTATTCAAATCATTCTTTTCACTTTTGTCAATTACAAATTTCTCATCTGCTGCTTTCGATTTCATTAAATATGTTGTCGCACTAAATCGAGCAAAAAATAATGAACTTTTTTTTTTGATTGATTAATTTTATTACGATTATTAATCATGATTAAATCAACATCAATAATAATGTTAACTATAATATTAAATTGATAATTATTACTTTTTTGAATGACTAATTTTATTACGATTATTGATCATGATTAAGTTAATGTCAATAATAATTTAATTATAATATTAAATTGATTATTATTTTTTGGTTGATTAATTTTATTACGATTATTAATTAAGAAAAAATTAACATAAATAATAATGTTAATTATAATATTAAATTGATAATTATTGCAATCATAATTAGAAATATGATTAAAATTATTATATATTATTATCTGCAAAAACTATAAATAACTGATTGAAAAAAATGAATATAAATTTCAATCATATTATTATACAATTGTTAGATGTACAATTCTTACGGTGGTTTGAATTTTGATGAACTTTGACCGTAAAATTCCCAATCATAAGGATCAATTAAACAATGGCCTTCTTTTTTTAAGATTTGTTTCAGCAATGATTTTATCAGATTATAATCTGAAAATGATTTTTATTTTCTGCTCTTTATTATAAATGAATAAGCGTTACTTTAATTAATTAAAATTTATTAAATTTAATGAATCATTTAGATGAACAATCAATTGATATTTGATAATGCAATACCTGGTTTATGATTGTAATTTAGCTTTTTAAGATGCTTCAAGAAAACATGAAATTCCATCGGTAAACTGGAAATAAGTTTTTCCTCACTATTTGCTTTACAAGTTTCAGTATGTATTCGATCCATACCATGCCTTGATAATTCAATAATGGCTTGTAGTAGTAATAATCGTAGTAGCAGTGATCATAGTAATAATAGTAGTAAACGTAGTAGTAATCGTAGTGCTAGTGTCGTAATAATACTAATCGTAGTAGTAATCGTACTACTAGTATCGTAGTAATAGTAATCGTAGTAGTAATAGCGATAATGATTTCAGATAATAATATTGATAACAATAATAAAAAGAAGGAAAATATTAATAGTAAAATTTCAAAGGAAGATAATTAATAAATAAAAAAAAATTTTAGTTAATTAATTTTATACCACGGTAAAGCGCCAAGTATCATTTCAGCAGTCATATATAAAAGTGACCACAAATCATCATGGCGTCCTTGTTCATCACGACGATGAACATTCAATGAGCAATATCGTATTGTACCACGAAATGGTGCTGTTTTACGTGGTTCACGTAATTTCATATTACCTTTTTCATCAAATATCTTAAATTAAACAAAGAGTGGAAAAAAAAATGAAATTAAAACAAAATTTTAGATTCTTAATTTTAAATTTGAATAAGATAAAATTCGTGATATGCAAATTTTTTTACAATTAATTGTTGCATTACAAAAATTAATTTATTAAATATAATTAAACGACTGTTTACAGATGACCACCAATACAGTATAATACAGTATAACAAAAACTTTTTTTCAACCATCAAATATATCGATTGAAATTTTAGATTTTTAAATTTTGAAAATTATAAATTTCCTAAAATGATTCATTCGATCATAATGATGATAAAGTAGAAAAGCGCGAACACAATATTGTCTAGCTAAGCCAAAATCAAGCATGAATACAGTACGCATTACTGATGGTTTACGTCCCATAGCAAAATTTGATGGTTTCACATCACGATGAATAAATCCAACATTATGCAAATCTTCAATTCCTTCCAAACATTGCATGCATAATTTCGCCGATGTTGACAGCGTAAAACGCTATGATAAATTAAATGTTTATTTTAAAATTATCAAAATATTTTTAACAAAATAAAATAAAATAAAATTTTTAATAAAGTTATGCTTTAATTTAATTAATTAATAAGTTTTATTTTAAATAATAAGTTTATTAATTTAATTAATAAGTTAATTAATTAATGCTTCGAAAATTTTTAATAAAATTTTTTAATAAAATAAAATTAAATTAAAATCAGAATGTTTTTTTTTTAAAAAAAAGCAAGAAATTATTAATTGGAAAATTTATGGTACCTTTAAATGATTATTCATTTCAGTTTGGTTAAAATGATAAAATGATTCGAATTGAAATTTTTCAAAATTAAAAAATTAATTTTCTATTGTTTAATAATCTCTTACACAATTAATTTGTATTGTTTTAAATTTAAATGAAATCTTATATATTTAAAATTAAGCAAAAACCTGTTTTGGACAATTTTTTCGTAAATCGCATAATGATTTTGATAATAAGGTCATTATTAAAAAGTAATAATTTTCACCCTAAAATATTTAACAATTTGTATGGAAATTTTCGAATTCCATTTAATTATTTAATTATCAATTTATTGTTTTCAAATTCCATTTAATTAATTTCGAATTCATTTAATTATTTAATTATCATTTAATTGTTTTCGAATTCCATTTAATTATTTTTAAATTCATTTAATTATTTTCGAATTCATTCAATTATCATTTTATTTTCGAATTCACTTAATTATTTTCATATTTATTTAATTGTTTTCAAATTCCATTTAATTGTTTTCGAATTCCATTTAATTATTTTCAAATTAATTTAATTATTTAATCATCATTTAATTATTTTTGTATAATATTTGAATTTAATTGTTTTTTTGATTGCAAATATTACTTGAATAGATTATATTGAAAATTGAAATTAATTAATAACTTAGCATAAATTGCATAAATAATTTTGATTCCGTATTATTAATAGGAAATGAAAGATTTAAATTATAAATTAAAACCAAAAATTAATTAGGATATTATTTTAAAATTAGAGAAACTTTAATTATTGTTTTGTTTTGTTCGGTTTTGTCACAACCTTTCCAGCTGCATAAATTTTGCATGCATGTTGTGATTTGTTGAGTTTTTTTAAAACATGCACTTCCATTTTTAGTATTTGATCATCGCTTAGCATACCAATTGGTTCAGTCTTCATTGCTGCAAATTGTATTGGATTTTGTATATTAACCACCTGGAAAACTATACCATAGCCACCTTGTCCAATTTGGCGTATTATCTGTAGCGCAAAATTTCATTTTGTTATTTATCATGGTCCTGTCATATTTCTATCAAATTTGAAATGATTATTGCTTTTGTTCTAAAATTTAAAATTAATTTAAATATTGCGGAATTTTTGAAGTTTTGATATTTCGGAAGAAACTTCAAAAGAATTTCAGAAATATATCAAAGATAATAATTCTGCCTTTTTTTTTTCAATTAATAATAGAAAATTTATGGTACTTCAAAAATCATAATTTATGATACTTCAAAAGTCTATTTACAAATGAGAATATTTAAATTTTCGAAAAGAATATCGATTATTTAAAAAAAAAATGATTTATTTCAGCAATAGAATTTGATAACATTTCGTTAACAGATATTGATAAAAAAGCAATTATACAAATTATAACAATTCACCTGCCATTGATTTTTAACGATACTACCAATTTTAAGTTTAACTTTTTGCAAATCTTCTCTACCCATTTAACACCGCCGATCGCTATAACAGAAAATAAGCAACAAAAATTTTGTCGCATACAGCAACACATTTATATTAGCGAATAGAAATTTGCATTTAGTTTATGTGATTAAAATGCAGAAGTGTTAAATTTTTAATTTTAAACTTTTTTGTCATCAAAATTAATTAATGAAAAAAATTAATGACACATCAGAAATAATTGTCGTATACAATAAATGCAAAATATCAAATTTAAATATTTCAATTAAATCATTTCCCTTTTTTTTTCACTAATTAATTTATATTAAAACAAAACAGAAACGAAAAGAAAAGATAAAAAAATTGAAAAACAATAAAATGATGATAATATTTAATTGATAAGATTAAATAGAAATGATAAATCATTTTGATCCTAAAATCAAATTATCTTTTTGCTAGGCCTAAATTAATGTAATTTAGTTTTTTCTTCTGCTCGTTTTATTTCCATTGTTGAATGATAACGTAGTAAAAGTGCAGTAATTGTCCATGATGAGATCAATGATATTCCAATCCAATGACTTACATTCCAATGATCCGAATATGCATATTGAGACCATATTTGTGCAAATAAAATTAGCGTACAAATCTGTAATTGAAGAATTAAAGAACAAAAAATTTTTACTATCAAAGAAACAAAAAGATAATTTAATTTTGAGAGAAATAAACAAAATTTTTGAGAGAAATACTTTTGAGGGAATTTTTGAGAGAAATAAACAAAACTTTTGAGAGAAATAAACAAACGTTTCGTTTCTTTTTTCAATAATTAAAATTTGCTTAATTTTTTAAATTTTTAATGAAATATCAAAAAGTCGAATTAAATTATTTCTAAGAAAACTAATTAAGAATTGATGTAAAAAACAATTCATAATTAATTTAACAAATTAAAAATTATTATAATTAAAATCAAATGAATGGAATGAATGATAGAAATTTAAATTAAAAACATACAACAAATCGTGTATCAATAACCACTAGACGATCTCTTGATTTTTTCCAATGTAACGCATGACTACTGACCACATATGAGGTCAAGAAATCACAACCCATAAGTCGTGCACAAAATTCATGTGATTCACCCAAATGTACAAGAACCTAAGAATTATTAAAATTTAAGTTAAATTTAAATTTAGATTTTTTTTTAAAGAATAAAATAATCAATTCCTTAATTGATATTTAATAATAAAATAAGTAATAAGTATTAAATTAAGTATTAAATTAAAATAAGTAATTTAAAATAAAATAAGTAATATAATAACTATGAATAATAAATTTATATTAACCCTACAAAACAACAAATATTTTGAGAGTATCTTATTGAAATATAATTTTATAAAATTATTATTCTAATATAATTTGCTATTAAAATAGAAATATTCGTGTAGGAAAACTATTAGAAATGAGAACTGATAATATGCAAATAAATGTGAAAGATCAAATTTCCCATTTAGGAAATTTATCAAATAAATCTTTTAGAAATAAAAACTATCCGACCGACGAATTTAATAATAACTTAATTTAATTTAAATTGAATGTTAAATTGCTGTTACCTGATGATGTAATAATCATTTAGGAGAATTTAATTTAAGTTAAATTAGTTAATTTAAATGTTAAATTGTTGTTACCTGATGATGTAATAATCATTTAGGAGAATTTAATTTAAGTTAAGTTAGTTAATTTAAATGTTAAATTGTTGTTACCTGATGATGTAATAATCATTTAGGAGAATTTAATTTAAGTTAAATTAGTTAAATTGAATGTTAAATTGTTGTTACCTGATGATGTAATAATCATTTAGGAGAATTTAATTTAAGTTAAATTAGTTAATTTAAATGTTAAATTGTTGTTACCTGACGATGTAATAACCATTCAGGGAATGCAAGCCATGCAGCACCAATAATTACAGATACAACGCTATCCATCTGGAATAAAATATTACTCATAACGCTCGCATTGATCGTTTCACCTAATGTCCATCGATGAGCTGTTTGAAGGCAAAAATTCACTGCTAACCAATTGTAGCACCAATATTTGGCGATTATCAGATACTGCAATTTAAGACTAACAAAACTATGCATTTAAAAATAAAGAAACGAATTTAAGGCCTGTAAACTTTTTTAAAGTTATAAACGAATTAAAAAGCTTTTGTTATCTAAATTTGAAGTAACCTAAAATATGGATGATATCTAATTGAAATAGCTTAAAATATGGAAGATATCTAAATCTGGAGTAATCTGAAATATGGAAGATATCCAAATTTCAAGCAACTCTGAAATATGGGAGATTGCCTAAATTTGAAATGACCTAAAATATGAAACTAATAAGGTTTAAAAATAGATTTTGAATTTGTTTCAATTTCTTCTATCCTATTTCGAAATTTATTTCATTTCTTCTAATTTCAATTATTTTCATTTTTTTTTTATTTTAAATTTAATAAAATTTAACTTAACTCACATTTGGATGAATTAAATTTGGTGTTTCAGCCGAACAATGTACGAGAACCAGAAGTTTTGATACTAAACTCTGAAATAAATTACATCAGCGCAAAGATTTATTTTCTTCCATATGCAAAAAAAAAAAATATATAATACTTCAAAAATTAAAATTAAATTTTTAAAAATTAATTTTTACATTTCGTGCAAAAATGCATGCAAAAAAATTGCATGCATTACAATTTTGCAAAAAAATAAAATTTATCAATTGAATGCAAAAATAAAAGCAAAATTTCGTTTTGTAGAAAAAATTTTAGGTAATTTTAGCAAAATCGTTAAATTAAATTAAATTAAATTAAAACAATCGTTAAATTAAATTAAATTAAAAAAAAAACAAAGAAAAAACTCTCATAAATTTTAATTTCAATTCAAATATCATCCAAAAAATTTATATTTGTAGCATAAATTTCGATAGAAATGAGAGAAATGAAGAAATTTTTTTTAAAATTTTAAATGAACCAAAATTTGAACGAGATAGCAAGTTGAAAGTGCTTCCACCGAAGAATTCCTCAATCGATACATGAGAAAACCAGCGCCAATTTGTTGACAACCGATACAACGAAGTAAATGCCAATGAACGCCATCTGTTTCGTGAATCTGTAATAATTTATTTTCAATAGAGAAGATTAAATTTTAAATTTAAACATTTTCTTCTCAATGATAAAAATTTTTTCGTATAACAATTAAAATAATTAATAAATAAAATTAATTAATAAATAAATTAATAAAAGAGCTATTTGATAGGTGGAAGAAAAAAAAAAAATTGATGAAGAGAATACGTGAAATTGTGGAAAATTTCCCATTAATATTAGCTAATTTTAAAATGGATAGAAATTAAAATTATAATTTACTATAATAATATGATAGTTATAGTAATTAATTTCAAATAAAAATTTTAATAATTAATTTCAAATTAGAAATTTCAGTAATTAATTTCAAATTAAAACTATTTATTGAATTTTTCTTAAATGCAATATCCATTTAATTTTGAAAATTTATAGTGATAATTTCATTTTATAATAATTGCTAAGTTCGATAATTTTAGAATGTTCAAAATTTTTTTCTTTCTTTCCAGAATTGAAATAGGAAAATCCTGAAATTAACAAATGAAAAATTATTTTAACAATTTATACACCATTATCGGATGTTGTTATTAAACGAAATACTTTTGTAATTCATTTTAATATTTCGAATAGTTTCAAATTTTCATTATTTAATTATTAATTAATAGGAAATCAAATGAATAATATAATTCTTTGTCTTAATATTTCGAATAATTTCAAATTTTCATTATTTAATTATTAATTAATAGGAAATCAAATGAATAATATAATTCTTGTTTTGATATTTGGAATAATTTCAAATTTTCATTACTCAATTATTAATTAATAAGAAATTAAATAAATAATATAATTAAATAAAATAATATAATCCTTTATTTTAATATTTCGAATAGTTTCAAATTTTCACTACTCAATTATTAATTAACAAGAAATTAAATAATATAAACCTTAATTTAGACAAGAAAAATTTCCCATCATTTTAGCACTAATACTTAATTTAAAATTGAATGAAAAACTTTTCGTTATATTAATTTTAATTAAAATTTTCAAATTTCAATATTAATTATGTAAATCATTCATCAAATAATGTTATAATTAATTATATATGGCATGTTAATTGTTTTGCTAAAACAATAAATAAATCATAAAATTAAAATTTTAATTAAATTAAAGAAAAAAAACATTAATTAAAAGAAAAACTTACAAAAATAAGGTAGGCGATAAGTGAAGGTGTTAAAAAAAGCAGTGTACCAATGAAAAATGATACAGTAGCATCGATCAGTAATAATGTGCGTCGTAATTCCATAACTTTAATATCAATTGTCGTTTTGAAATGAATTGATGAATTTGTGAGGTTGATAATACGTTTGCAGCATATGAAAAAAAAAATGCCACCTTTCACCTTTAACCTCCTGCACCTTCAATATCTATATATGCATTTATTATTTATCAAGAAAAAAAAAGAATGCCACCTTTCACCTTTAACCTCCTATATCTTCAACATGTACCTATTATTTATTAAAGAAAAAAATGCCACCTTTCACCTTTAACCTCCTATATCTTCAACATGTACCTATTATTTATCAAAGAAAAAATGCCACCTTTCACCTTTTACCTCCTATATCTTCAATATTTATATATGCATTTATTATTTATCAAAGAAAAAAAAAATGCCACCTTTCACCTTTCACCTCCTATATCTTCAATATTTATATATGCATTTATTATTTATCAAAGAAAAAAAAATACCATCTTTAACCTTCAACCTCCTATCATCATCAATATTTATATATTCATTTATTGTTTTATCAAACGAAAATTTAACTCAACAAATTTGCGCCGTTCTTTTCCGATTGAAGAAAATGAAGGAAGAAGGAGAAAATTTTTTGTTGTATCACTCATTTCATTTCGATCTCAAAATTTTTCCTCTTCAAATTAATTTTCCCTAAATTTCATTTTGTTTAACGAAACAAATCTAAATAATTTGTAAAAAACAGGAAATTTAAATTTTTAGAAATAAATTTAAAAAAATTTTTTCAATTATAAAAAAAAAAAAAAAATGGAAATGAAATTATTTTTGGGAAATTAAAAATGAGTTTAGAGCGGAAGAGATGACAAAACGTTTTTATTGATTAGACAGGTAAAAGTGTGACAAATTGCTCTTATAGAGAGGTATGATGAGAGAAAGAATTATACGAAAAGTTCTTCTCACCTATTATCAACTCTCACCTTTCTCTCATTCAAATTAAAATCAAACTGTCCATTATCAATTCGTTCACAACTTATTCATCATTGTTACAATTCATTATGTGTGAACTTTTAAAAATGTTAGGAAAGAATGAAATGAATGAATGAATGATTGATTGATTGATTGAATTAATTTGACTGAATCATTTCAATTATGATTTTATGAAATATTTGACAAAAGAAAAACGTAATTAAAATTAATACAAAAATTATTAATTATATTTGTTAAAACAAAAAGATATTATTAAAATTTTAAACGAAGAAAAATATTGACAGACAGACAGGCAGACACATACAATATATTTATAAATTATAAATTATATTTATGAAATTGAATTATATTATGAAATTATATTTATGAAATCATTTATAACATCAAATTATATTTTGAAATTAAATCACATTATGAAATCATTTATGAAATTAAATCATAATTATGAAATTAAATTATATTTATGAAATTAAATTATGATGTTATAAATGTTATTAATTATATTTTTAAAACAAAAAATTATAATTATGAAATCAAGTGTGAAATTAAATTTTATTTATGAAACTAAATTATATTATGATATTATATATATGAAATTAAATTATATTTCTGAAACTAAATTATATTATGATATTATATTTATGAAATTAAATTATTTACGAAGTCACTTATGAAGAAAAAAACATATATAAATTATAAATTAAAACTTACGAAGTTATTCATAAAATTAAAATTATAGTTATAAATTATATTCACCCCCCTCCCCCCTCCCCAAAAAGAAACACATATAAATTATATTTCATTTAATAAAATAATACAATTTCAACGAATAAAATAGCATATTTATTTTCTTTGCCAATCATTTAAGAAAAAGAATTTCAAATAAATAATTATTTCGCTTTCTTATTCATCAAAAATCAAAACAACGTTAACGACAAGAATCTTCGATAGTTTGACGATCGTATCGTCGTAACGAGCACTTTGATATTTTACATACGATTGAATGAATAATTGATTTTTATTTCAAATTTTTTTCATCTGTAAAATGAGGAAGAAACTTTTTGTATGTTATCGAATTTGAATGAAATGAAATGTTCCATTCGTCGTTGGTTGGAATTTATATGTTGTAGAAATAGATATTATCATTTTTTGAATTGGATTAAATATTGTTACCAGCCTACATTTTAAATGATGATACATTTACATTTTAAAATTACATTTATTTCTTTTTAAATGTTTTTTTAAACATTTGTCTACATATTATTATTATTTATTATCATTATTATTATTGCTATTACTGTTATTAAGTATTATTATCTGCTATTATCATTATCATTATTAATTATTATTAATCGTTATTAATTATTATCACTAATTATTATTAATTAACATTATTATTAAATAATAATATTATTATATTATTAATCATCATTATTATTGTCATCATCATTATTATTTATTATTATCATTATTATTTATTATTATATTATTGATTATTATTAATTATTAATTATTGTTAATTATTATTATTATGATTGTTATTACTACTACTATTATTGCTGTTATTATTGTTATCATTATTATTAATTATTATTATACATATAATACAATTCAAGGCTATCTCACCATTTTTTTGTAATATAAAAATCTAAGAAAAATTAGATATTTTCATTTTCCACCAATCAATCAAAAATTTTCAATATAAATTCAATTTGATTAAATGTGATAATATAGCTAGTTGATAATATGTCATACATTTATCACAATATCACTTGAAACTTTTATTATATGTAATCTCATATTTCTATATCATATGATAAAGATTTCGTATTGGGATACGTGATCAACTATCGACCTATTAAAATAAAAGTTACAAGTGAATTTAATTCAATACCATTTAGAAAAGTCCCTCTATCACCTCTCTCTCTCTCTCTCTCCATCTATCTCTCTCTATCTCTTCTCGATCAGATGTCGAAATTCGTTGTAGGGCATTGATCGAAAACTATCATACAATGACATTTCCTTTTTATTTTCGACCCATTTCATTTTCATTCCAATCAATTCACAAATAAAAATGGCTTATGAAGAGAAGAAGAAAATGGAAAGTATCCTAAATAATGGTGGAATAAATCATTTGTATTATTAATTGTTAAATAAATTACTTAAATACATGAATACTGGAATAATTATAAATGTTAAATTTAATTAGCACATAAAGGAAAAAGAAAATTAAAGAAAAAAACATAAACATAAAGAAAAAAAAATAGTTAAATTCATAGTTAAATTCAAATACAAAATAGCAAAATAATAGATATAAAATAAATATTTAATTTATCAATCAATTCATCGATATCAATTATCACAATTGAGTTTTTAAATGCGAATAATATAGTAATAGATATAAAATAAATATTTAATTCATCAATCAATTCATCGATATCAATTATCACAATTGAGTATAAATACGAATAATATAGTAATAGATATAAAATAATATTTAATTTCAATTTTAATTCATTAATCAATTCATCGATATCAATTAGCGCAATTGAGTTTTTAAATACGAATAATGTAGTAATAAATATAAAACAAAAGTTGAATATTAATTCATCAATCAATTCATCGTTATCAATTGGTCATAATTAAATTCAAATACGAATTAATATAGCAATAGATATAGAATAAATTCATTGATATCAATCGATCATAATTAAATTCAAATACGAATAATATAGTAATAGATATAAAAATAAAAGTTTAATTTTAACTCGTCAATTAATTAATCATATCAATTCATTGTAATTAAGTTTACATACGAATAATTAGGTTCAAACGAGTTTAAATAATAAGTACAACAAAAAATGCAAATTATTTAATCATTCATTAATAAATGTAAATTATGCTGCCTTATATTTTAAATTGATGAAATATTTGCAAACTGATTATTATTTAATATTGCCATTTTAAACGTCAGGTGTTCTCATTAATTTAGTCATTTCATTTAATTTCAAGCGATAATGTCAATAAGGGCAACAAATGAAGCAAGGTTGATAATGCTTGATAAATGATAATAAATCAAATTATGATAACACTTTTTTTCTTCTCAATCACTACAATGCTGAATTTTCTCTTGATGAAAATAGAATTACAACATTGATTGCCGCTTATGTATGATAAGAAAAGGAAAGGACTCAAAATGATGATAAGTTATGAAGCAAAAAATAAACAATAAAATTTCTTATAGGAAAATTAATCACCTTATCAATTATTTAATTAAAAGTTTAATTTTAACTGATCAGTTATGTGAGAGGGATTTTTAAACTTTTTCTCTTGATGATATTTGAATTACAACATTGATTGCCGCTTACATCTGATAAGAAAAGGAATGAGATTAAAATGATGATAAGGAATCAAAAAAATAAACAATAAATTTTTTATAGGAAAAATTTGAAAAGAAAAATTAATCACTTTATCAATTGTTTAATTATTTAATTAAAAGTTTAATTTTAACTTATCAATTATGTAAGAGGAATTTTTAAGCTATGTGAAATTAAAGATTTGAATTTTTTGAATTTTAAAATTATTTTTTCAAAATTATAAGGATTGAAAATTTAGCGTCGATAAGACTAAATATGATAATATATAATATATGATAATAATATGATAATACATGATAATAATGATAATATAATAATATGGTAATAAATATAATATTAGCATCGATAAGACTAAATATGATAATATATTATATACGATAATAATATGATAATAATGATAATATGATAATATGACAATAAATATGATAATATATTAGAGCAATAGATTTTTTTCGAGCTAGAAAAAAGTTTATATCAAACTTTTCTTTCTCAATAATAAAACTGATAAACATTTAGATATAAACATATTGAGGAAATTGCTCGAAATGATGCTACAACAAAACCATTACCTGTTATAAAAAATAAAGGATACGATGATATTGTTATTTCAGAGTATAATTATTTAACTACTGCATTATAATCATTTTAAAAATTAATGATCAAAATAAATGACTTCTAATTAATGATTAAAATTTCCATTCATAATTCCTAAAATATTATTATAAAAAAATAATTCCTAAGATATTAATATAAATTCTGTGGAAAATTTTTTCAGAAGTAAATCGGTCAGTATCAGTAAGGTAAGACTAAAACTATTTGAATTATTGTTTATTTGTTTATTTGGAAATTTTCTTTTTCCACCCACTCTTCTGATATTTCTTAGATGTGATCACTTTGTACAACAAATCTAAAGTGAAGTATGTTTTTGAAATTTTGTTTTGGTTGAAAGATTTGCAAAGTTGATTAAATGTTCCATTTTCCGGATCGCATCGATTGATTAATTACAACTGATTAATTATTCTGTTTTTTTTTCTTCTTCATTTCTATAAAAAAAAAATGAAATTAAATTTCCAGAAAAATTATAACCGGAATAGTCAGATGCAATTGAATGAGAAGCTACAACAGCAAGACAATACGATTGATGCATATTTGAAATTGCCAGTAAATGAGGAAAACAAAAGAAGTTCAGATTAATTTTCAAATTTCATAATTAGAAAATTGTTAAATTGTACATCTTGATTGTTTAATTACTTAATTACTGTTATTGTTTATTTCATTTCTTTTCAATTATTGACCAGCTTTTTTCAAATATTAATTATTTATATTTTTTCATACTACTCTCATACAGCAGTGAACTTTCAAACTTTTAGATCAGTCAGTTGAAAGAAAGTCGAAGACTGCCACAGAACAAGAAAGTAAGATTAATAAGCAATTACTTCGGATACCTTAATATAGCAATAATAGTAATAATTTAATAATAATAATCTCAATAGGTGTTAAATCTCATTAATTATTAAATTAGGATAAGCAACAATGGATAATATTTGCAGTTATTTCTTTGTAAAATTCATATTTCATATTTATCTATCGTAAATTTCATCCTAATTTATCTCTTATCTTTTATCAATTTTTTTTTTAGGCTTTTTAATTAAGCTAAAATTAAATTAAAAGTATATCATAATGTAATCTTACAAAGATAATTTTTTAATTATCAATGATTATTAGCGCCACGGAGGATATCAATTTCGTTATTTCTTTATTTGTCAATAAGAATTTGATAATAATGAATTTTATTTGAATTCTAATTTTATCATTAATCATATTTATTTTTTTACTAAAATTAATTGTTTAATCAGTGATAATCAATTTTTGAAATATATATATAAAAAAGGAAAAGAAAATTTTGTGGTACTTGATTTAATATATAGCAACAATTCCACCACTTCTCTTCCACTAAGCAAACATAAAATAATTAACAAAAGTCTTTCTAGCATTGATTTTGAAATTTATATATAAAAAAGAGAAAAGAAAATTTTGTGGTACTTGATTTAATATTTAGTACCAATTCCACCATTCCATTCACTTCTCTTTCACAAAGCAAGCATAGAATAATTTGCAGATATCTTTCTAACACTGATTTCGAAAATTACATGTAAAAAAGAAAGAAAATTTTGTGGTACTTTATTTAATATTTAGTACCAATTCCACCATTTCATTCATTCCTCTTCCACAAAGCAAACAGATATCTTTCTAACATTGATTTAATTAACAATTTATCCTTTCTTTCTTAGAGCAAACATTTGAAATAATTTAAGTTAGTAATAATTTAATTTAAGTATTTGTTTTAAGTGACAACTTTAAGGTGCAGTTGCTTATTTTCATTTCATTCATTGTAAAGCATAGGTAGTAAATTGTCGGATTATTTGATAAATTATTCAACAATTAACAAACAATTTGAAATGAATAATTTATTAGGTATAAGAGTAAAGAAGAAAAATAAGAAACGAAATCGATGCTGTCTTTGCTGTTCCATTTCATAAATTATTTTATGAATAAATAAATAAAGTGAATTTTTAATTGCTTTATCATAAACTATTTATTACATCAAATATTTTAAAATTTGCTCATTTTACAAAATTTCTGTCAATAATTAGGGAAGAACTTTTAAATGGAATTACTCAAATATTTAATTATTTTGAATCAAATTATTCAAATACTTAATTATTTGGAATGAAATTATTTAAATACTTAATTATACTATTTCAATTAGGGAAGAAATCTCTGAATGTAATTATTCAATTACTTAATTAATTATTTTGTTTCAATTGGGGAAGAACCGCTGAATGAAATTATTCAAATATTTAATTATTCTGAATGAAATTGTTAAAATAATAATTCTGAATGAAATTATTCAAATAACTGATTATTTTATTTCAATTAAGAGAGAGCCTCTGAATGGAATTATTCAAATACTTAATTATTCTGAATGAAATTATTATACTAATTCAATTAGGAGAGAACTTCCAAATGAAATTATTCAAACAATTTTTCTGAATGAAATTCAAATACTTTTATTTTATTTCAATTAGCGGAGAACTTCTGAATGGAATTATTCAAATAATTATTTAATTTCAATTAGAGGAGAATCACTGAACGAAATTGGGAGAACCTCTGAATGAAATTATTCAAATACTTAATTATTCTGAATGAAATTATTATACTATTTCGGAACTTCCAAATGAAATTATCCAACCAATTATTCTGAATAAAATTATTCAAATACTTAATTATATTATTTCAATTAGGGGAGAATCTCTGATTGAAATTATTCAAATACTTAATTAGGAAAGAACCTCTGGATGAAATTATATGAAATTATTCGAATACTTATTTTTTAAAGAAAAATATTTGAATGAAATTATTTCATATAATACCAAATATATTGTGTGCTTTAATTTGCTTACGCTATTAATGTTTTACTGCATGCATTTTATGCATGCATTATACATTAACTGTAATAATTACATGAAAAATTGGATGCAATTGGGTTGCATTTTTGCATAATTAAAATTTCGTAATAAAAGGAAGAAAATTAAAAGAGCAGATAACAGGTGTATTATCACCTGTATTTTTATGAACTTATTCTATAGTATTACTGTTGAAAGTGTTTACTTATTTTACAATTAAAATGTTTGTAATTTACGAATATAATAATTTCAAAAAAATATTTACCTTATTGTTTTACCGACAAGAAATGTCACATCTTTGATATATATTATTTGTTAAATTTAATGACTTACGATCTTTGATTTATAACATTATAATTTAGCATTAATAAGATGAAAAACAATCTTTCATTAAAAAGATGTAGAAGAACCGGAAAGTTAATTTTAATTGTTTTTTCTAAAAATACAAATTGAAAAAATTTAGTAATTAAAATTTAATGAGAGTAATTTTAGTTTGTTTTCATTTTTAGATTCATTTGATGTTGAATAAATACAACATAGTTGAAATCATAAAATATTTCATCGTAGTAAAGCGGAAATTTAATAAGAGTAATTTTAATTTGCTTTCTTATTCAGGTTCTTCATTTGCCATGTTGAATTATTTAATTAATACAATGCAGTTGAAATCATAAACTATTTTTTCAATTTGAATGAATGATTATAAGGCTGCAGAATTCAGCAGCAATGATTTAATTATAGGTTGCGGAATTTAGTACCAATGATTTTATTATGGGTTGCAGAATTTAGTAGCAATATGTATGAGAAATGATAATGATAGCAAAATATCTATTCAAATTTAATGACCTGAAAATGGAAAGAAAGCCAGAAACAATGATAAGACATCGTTAATTTCAAATGAGAAAATTTTATTCAATAAAACATATAAGTATCACTTCTATGAAGAAATATTTTAATCATAAATTTTTAATTGGATAAATTGAAAAAAACAAAAATTCGAAATTCTTTCTTAAAAGAAGGAAATTTTCCAAACTTCTTGTACCATAAAATAATCAATGTGTAAATTTTTTTGTTACAAAAAATTAAAGAAATTTTCAAATGTTTTATACTATAAAATAATCAAAGTGTAAATTTTTTTGTTATGAAAAATTAAACTGTCAGTAAATTTTATAAAAGTCACAGAAGAAATTATCACTTCAAATAGAATATAAAATTTTTCATTTCTTACAAAATGAAATATCCAATTCATTGCTTATTTCAATGCTTGATCGATCGCTTTTTGAATATTAGCAAAAGAATCAGCGCCAAGATAATCCGGTTGTCCAACTTCCCAAGCTCGCATACGTTCTTCATCGGTTTGTGATGAAGATTGAAATGTAACACTTGGCATCTGAAACATTTAGCTAATGTGAATTTTAATTTTGATAAAACAATGGAAGAATTTGTTTACTAAGTTAACATTGTTGTAAAATTAAATTATACGCTAACAATAGATTTTTAGATTTTCAAAAATGAAAAATTAAATATTTTAATAACATCTTTCAAATAATGCAAATATTTGTGGTTATATCCTAATACGAATTATCTCTATTGTTTTATTACCAATTTATCAAATCTTTAAGAAACGCTAATTTAATTATCAAAAAAATGACAATAGAATTTTAACCTCCTAATATAACACATTCTAAATAATGCAAATATCTGTGATTATATTTCATTATGAGTCGTCTTTCTTATCTTAATACTAAATTATCATATCTTTTGTCTTAATACTAATTTATCATATCTTTAAGAAATGATAATTTAAATGTCAAAGGCATGAGAATGGAATTTTAAACCATAAATTTCGTTCCTTATAATTGGAACTAAAAAAGTATATTTAAATTGTTAAAATTATTTTTGATATTTTGCCAAAATTATCATTAGCAATATCATGTCATATCATATCATATCATCATTTATCATTTTCCTATCGCATTCCTTTTTATCTTTTTCCGGAAATTGAATTTTTAAATGCCCGGAATTTAGTTGATATATTAGATATGAATGAAAATGAATGAAACAGATCGAAATAATCTAAAATTTTTGAAGAGTTTAGAAAATTTTTTATAACATATGGTTTATGTAGAGATTGTTTGTGAATGGCAAGCTGATAAGAAAGCATATTCTTTTAAATTTATTATCAGATAAGTTAATAATAGTGTTATGGATGAGTCATGTTAATTGCTGCTGCACACTTTAATATTATGGTCAATTAATTAAAAGCATCTTGGCAAACTAATTAATTAATTAATTAATTAAGAGTGAGGAATAAATGAAATGCAAGTTGTCAATCTGTTAGCATGCAATATTCACATCAAATAATTGCTTGTCAATATCCTTAGCAAAATACCATTAGCATAATGAAGTAATTAGTGAAATAAAAGAAATTGTTACCTATCAAAATTTTTATTGTTACCTTAGCAATGAAATATTTATTAATTACCTTTAAATTTTTCAAAAGCAAAATTTCAAAAGATAGAATTTAAATTTAACTAATTTTGCTATTTATGCCTGTTAGAATGAACTTATAAGACTGATCAAAAAGTATGATCGTTTTTTGAATCAATCCTTTTTTAAACCATTTTTACTATCAGTTGAAATTGTTTTCCGAAAGATTATGGCTATGGAGTTATAAATTTAATAAGATAATAGCATACAGTAATGAATTTCAGATATCATAATTAATAAAATCATTTGTTAGATATCATCTAATCAGTTACTGAGCTCTAATTTAACTCTTATCACTATTTAATTTAACTCTTATCAGCATTTGTTTGAAAAAGAAAAACATCAAAGTTTAATTTAGTTATTTTGAAAATATAAAATAAGCAAAACATATGTTAGTAGTGATTTCAATAATTTAAATGATTTTTTTCTAAGAATTTAAATTTTGCTTATTTCGGCAATTTTATTCATCGAAAATTTAATTTGTAATTGTTTTAAAAATTAAAAAGAGTTTGATTCTAATTAATTAAAAAAACTTATAATTATGCAAATTATATAAATTTGCATTTCTGATAAATTCAAATTATATTTTTACTGCAAAATTAAATTTCTAAACAGTGAACAAGCCATGAATTTAGGAGAAAATTTCAATAGGTGTATTTTAATTATTGTATTTAAATTTCAAATTTTTTAAAGCTAATATTATATTACTAGCAAAGATTTAATGAGAAGTGTATATTTGTTCAAATGTGAAATGTATTAATTAAAACAAATACAAATTAATGCTTAATATTTAAGCGTAGTGCACTCACAAGTGTAAAATTCGCCATCTTCTTAGCGATATGAATGGGTGAATGACGGAATAGTTTCCATTTCTCATAAGATGGTGGTTTACAACGGAAAACTCGCATGCATAAGGGATCAGGTGATAGGTTGCTGTGTGATGATACTGATGATAATATACTCCTTCGATCATTTGTACTAATAGTTTCGTCACAAATGAAAGGAATGGTAACAGATATAACATCGGATGTTGTTGTTGTTGTTGTTGCTGCAGTTGTTGTTGTGGAAGCAGTAGCTGATGTTCGTATAGTATTGAGGATTATTTCTGTGATACATTGAGGTGATGATGAAAAATATGGCGAACTCACATGTAATGCGATGACATTTGAGGTCAATCGATTTCTAAACAATGACCACCAGTAATCAAAATACTCTGATACATGAACTCTATCCGGTGTTTGTTGCCATGGTTTTACAGAACCCAGAAAATGGACTATTTTCACCTAAATTATATTTGAAAAAAATTAGACAAACGAAATTAAATAAAATAACAAAATGTATTTTTGAGTAGTGGACATCAGATAGCCATTATCAGTTGATTTTACTTCTAAGATACGGTAAATGATAATAGGTTCTTATTTTGCATCATAATATTAGAATGTAGCAGTTTTTGTTTTCTTCAAAATTGCTACAATTTTAATGATACGATATTTGAGTGACTTTAATGAATACCCTTAATAAAATTATATGATAAAATATTTGAAATTAATATTAGTGATCTATTTTCAAACACTGTATTTGATAATGTTTTATAATTTCAAAATTTTTATTTTTGCAACATCAATGATTTAATTTGATGATGACGATCGATATTAGGAAATTATATATGAAACATGCCTGGGTACCAAACTTTTTGAGAGCAGCTCGATAAGTATAAACTGCTCCATAGGTCATATTGTAAATGAAAGGTAAACGAAAAGCTGGTGGCTTATCACGCCATCCTTTAAAGAATTCATTCAATAAACCTTGATCACCACCTGAAAATATTTCCTAAAATACTTTTAATATTATAACGATATAGTATTTCTAACTTTAATAAAATAGTAATAAGATATATTATTATAAAAAAGGTCATACCATCAAATGAACCATTTTCCAGGGCAAAATTTAAAATGTTCAAATATGTTTGTTCAGATGGTTGATAAACAAAAACACCAGAATTAAAGCAATCCGGCCAACCAATATCTGCTACAGCAGAAAGTTCATCATGATCGAATAATTCATCAGCATTTTGCATCACCTAAAATATAAGCAAAAAAAAAATTCTAAAATGATAACAGAACTATTTAGCTAAAAGTAATAATATCAAATATCTGGAGAAGAATATAATTGATATAAAATGTACAACTAATCAATAATTGCTGCAATTACTAAAATACTAAAATTAATATAAATTTACAACTACTAAAATATTGAAATTAAATACAAATTTACAATTAAATCAATAAATATTATAGTTAATTAAATATTAAAATTAATATAAATTTACAACTAATCAATATTACAATTATTGAACTAAAATTAATATAAATTTATAACCAACTAAAATACTGAAATTAAATACAAGTTTACAATTAAATCAATAAATGTTATAGTTAATAAAATATTAAAATTAATATAAACTTACAACTAAATCAATAAACATTATAATCAATAAAACGCTAAAATTAATATAAATTTACAACTACTAAACTAAAAATAATAATTAAAATTAAAATTAAATTTGCAACTACTAAAATACTGAAATTAGGATAAATTTACAACTAATCAATAAATATTATAACTATTAAAATACTAAAATGAAATACAAATTTACAAATAAATCAATAAATATTATTTGCTGCTAAAATATTAGAATTAATATAAATTTATAACTAATCAATAAAGTATTATAAAAAACTAACAAGGCAATCAGCATCGAGGAAGACACATTTGGTATATTGTGTAAGCCTCCAACAATGTATTTTAGTGAAAGTTATACCCAAATCAGGTCTGCCAATTAAGCGTAAATTTTCGGTATCATTACTGTCCAAAATATTTACCATAGTGGTGGCATCAAATGTTGTAGCAAGCTCATCCCTTTAGATTAATTAATTCACTTCTTATTAAACCTTCATAAAGAATTGTTTATACTTCACTTATCAATTCATACAAAAAAGGAACTTCAAGTGAAAATTTTTATTTATCAGTTATCAACTTATCAGTAAATATTAAATTAACCGAAAAATTACTGTGATATATCAGTTGTAAAAAAAAACTTCAAATATATCATTTATTAATTTATCAATTAATAAATTGAATTTGAAAAATTATTTTGAATATAAACAAACCTAAGATGTTGTGATACACCAGGTGTAAACATGCAATGTAATTTTTTCGTCGTTTGTTGAATTTTTAATGAATGAGCTAAAACAAGCGCTCCAATAGCATATCCATCTGATGTTGCCAATGTTACCCATGCTTCAGTCATTTTTCCTGCAAACTGCAAGCAAGTTGCAAACTGCAAAAAAAAAAGCCTATAAATGCAATAGCATGCATATATAGCGTACATAAATTGCAAACTATTAAAATATGATAATATATTTGCCCATTTAACATATCAGACAATCTGATCGGTATTCCTAAAATATGCTAAGCAAAGCAAAAATCGGAGCAAATGATAAATACGATTTATGGAATATTCGATTCCGTATTCTACTACAACCTACGACTACATAATCGATCATTAAACGATTTTTTATCTTGAATATATTTAGTGATCGATCGAAAGGAATGCTTTGGCTTTTTCTGGTAGTAAAAAAATATTTATTTAAATAATTTTACAAATATCAATAGTTTTTCATTATTTGCCGTTAGTGTAAATAAATAAATTCTTTCTCTATTGTTTGTTAAATTCATTAATTTCAAATTTTAATTATAAATTTTGAAGTGTGAGAAAATTTCAATTCAAAATTAGAATTTAATAATATATGAAATTAAATATATAAATATGTAAAACTTGTAATATATAAAACATATAAAACTATAAATAAAATATTATATAAAACTTCAGAAAAAATAATTATTTGTAAATGTTAATTTGTAAATGATAATTTGAAGATAATCTGTAAATGATAATTTAAAGATAATAAAAAAGATAATTTTGTAAATGTTAATTTTGAGATAATCTGTAAATGATAATTTAAAGATAATAAAAGAGATAATTTGTAAATGTTAGATAAATCTTTTAATTTTTAATTAAAGTTTAATTTAATTATTCTCTAATATAATCAAATGAAATTTGCATTCTATTTCTATTACCAATTTCCTAAAGAAATAATGTGGAAAAAAATAACCAATTTATGGATTCTTAATCAATGTCTTTTATTCTTAATTCATCTTAAATTAATTTAAATTAATTACTGAATTAGAAATAAAGGAATCAAATTCATTTTTGAAATAAGCCATTTAGCAGCTGCATTCCATTCTATTACCAATTTCCAAAAGAATCAATGTGGAAAACAATGACCAATTTCATGAATTCTTAATCAAAGTCTTTTATTCTTAATTCATCTCAAATTAATTTAAATTAATTACTAAATTAAAAATAAAGAAATCAAATTCATCAAATTTGAAATAAGCCATTTAGCAACAGCAGCAACAACGACATGTATATCAAATAATTAATTAAATTCAATTTGACCAATTCCTTTGTTTTAAACAAAATTAAGAAAAGATAATTTGAATTTCCAAAAAGAAAAAAAAAATCCGAAAAGATAGAAAATAATAAGAACTTTTTACAATGATGATATAGGAGTGAAATTTAAACGTTGAAATATCCTCAAAGCATAAAGAGCTAACAGCAGCGGAAATGATTTATAATTTTCAATCTATTCGACAGCCTCGTTTACAACAAATCAAGTCGTATCTTCTTCCTCTTCCTCAATTTTTTTTTGCAACTCAAAAATCCTGCTGCCAATATAATGAAATAATTTGATGGATAACGATGTTGATAACGGTAATTAAGATGTAGAATTAAAACAATGCAAAAGAAAAACTTTTATAATTTTAATTTTGTTTGATAAAATTGATAAACAACTCGCCGATATTATTATTTACGTAAAAGAATGAAATTTAAATTTTAAAATTAAAAGTTAAATTTATATTTAATTATTTTTTTGTTTTAAAGAATTTGAATAGCACAAATATTCTGAATCATCAAAACGATCTCTCTCTTTACTGCCAACTGATAAACTTTCAAAATTTCATTTCGTTAAACAAATTGCGAAATATTTGTAGTGAAAAAAAGAAACAAGTGTCAGAAGGGATGATAAGAAAGTGATAGATTATAAGACGATGGATAAGTACCAAACGAAAAACTTTCCAATAATCAAACGTTGATTTTTAAATCATATTGTTGTTGCCAGTTGAGATTGAACAATTTAGAACAGATATCGAAATCTGCCGGTGGAAATAAATGAAAGAAATATTTTCCTGCAACAAAAAACAGAAATGATCGCAAAAAGCATTTTCATCATTTTTATACTTTAATGGAGGAAATGAAATTTGGAAAGATTAATGATTAAAATATTAGTAAATATGTAATATTAGTTAATATATAATATTAGTTAAATATATAATTAGTAAATATATAATATTACTATATATAATATAAAATATTAGTTAATATCAATAAATAAAATAACAAAGAAGAAAGCAAATATAAATAAATAAATAAATAAATAGCTTACAAATTTAAATTATAAATAATAAAGTAGGAATAATAGTTAATTAAATTTTGTAATGAATTATTTCATATGAGCAAGTTATCAAATCAAATCAAACAAAGTTTAAATAAATGGAAAATTTTAATTAAATTAATTTAAAACTAATGAATTGGAATAGGTAAAATGCGTCCAATAATAATTGATACAGTAAAGAGTAGCGCTAATATCGCACATTTATTAACAGTTTGATTAGTTTTAAATCAATAGATTAGGCTTTTATTGCAGAGCAGAATAATTAATTTAAGTTTTTAGTATGATTGAAATTGCGCCATTTCTTACTTGCAATAATGTTAGTGTAAGGATGAATAAGATTTGAAAGATTTAAGTGTACAAGATTTATTTTAAGCATAGAGAACTTTTGCGATGATAACACAAAGTTTACAAAGAGCGCCATGATGATAACATTTCTATAGCAAAGTTTGCAAAAAAGCGCCATGATGATAGCATTTTTATAACAGAGTTTACAAAGAGCGCCATGATGATAACATTTCTATAGCAAAGTTTGCAAAAAAGCGCCATGATGATAGCAGTTCTATAGCAGAGTTTACAAAGAGCGTCATGATGATTTTGCATTGGTAAAAAAGATTTAAAGATCGATCATAAAATTAACTGGTAAAAATGATTGGAATATCAATATGCTCCTTTTATGTTGTTGGCGCTTTTGGATAGATTATGGCGCTTTTGGATAGAATGAAAAATTAAACTTTTTCATTTATCATTTAAAAACTAACAGTAATTATTAGAGGAAAAGAAAACGATGAAAAATGAAGGTTATCTAATTTTTAAAATAATTGTTAAGAATGAAATGGAGAATTGTAGCAAGAATATAAATACATTAAAATAATGCCGCAACGATCTGTTCATCATTAATTAATGAGCACATAATGAACAGATCATTAATTAATGAGCGCATAATGAACAGATCATTGCGGCATTAATTTTATTACAACTTCACAACTATATATGATGATAAAATTTTTGTAAGAGCCGATAAAAATTGTAATTTTGCTAGATTATTTCCTATTCAATTTAAATACTATCTGTTAAAATTACAGCAAACGTTTTAAAAATTATTTGATAGCATTTTCCAATCAAATAAATAGTGCTATTTTAAAGGCTTTCTAGAATCCATAGAATATGCTTTCTAGAATCCAGAAGCATAAAATATTTCTGGAATTCATAGAATATGCTTTATGCTTTTGTTTCAATTCTCTTGAAAATTATTATTAACAAAATGATTTAGGATGAAAAATATAAGGCAGTCTTCTGAAACTTTACCCCTGTAACATTATTAATCCAGTGATTTTCAATCTCACCTTTCAATATAGCATAAAGATTTACATAGACTAAAACAATCATTCATTAAACTCATATCGTTCTCATATCATTAAAAGTCATTTAATTATGCTATTTTAATTTTAATAGAAAAAAATTAGTATTTTAATTTTAAAGAAAAAAATGTTGCAAAAAATATAAATGAAAAAAGAGAAAATTTAATTGGAAATTAATTACTTAAAAAATTAATTTTAATAGAAGAAATAGTATTTTAATTTTGAAGGAAAAAATTGCTCCAAAAAATATAAATAAAAAAGAGAAAATTTAATTGGAAATTAATTACTTAAAAAAATTAATCTTTAATAGAAGAAATGGAATTTAGAAGAAAAAAAAAAGCGTTGTAAAAAATGCAAATGAAAAAAAGCGAAAATTTAATTGGAAATTAATTATTTAAAAAAAAATGAAAAATTTAATTAATTCCGATTAATTAATTCGACGATAATTTTCATTATAGAAATAATACATAACGAAATTTCGAATACATTCTCTGAAGAAATAAGAAAACAACTGATTTAAACGAAACTTGCAGTTAAAATTGTGTTAATGTAATACACACAAATACATATACACACACATACATACATACATTTGCACAGAGAGAGAGAGAGAGAGAGAGAGGGAGAGAGGGAGGGAGAGAGAGGTGGAAAGAGTAAAATGAAAAATATAGGAATGATAGAAAGAAGTTTTTAATGTTTCAATAAGTTTTAAATAATGATAAGTTATCGAGATGAAAAGAGAACAAGATAATTTGTGAATCAATTTTAGTTTTAAGTCATTCTGAATAAACACAAAAAATAAGGAAGCCACAAATGCTCGTTGATTTTTATTGCTGAAATATTAGCAGCAAATATTTTTTAGAGAGAGAGAGAGAGAGAAAGAGAGGGAGAGAGAAAGAGAAAGAGAGAGAGAGAGAAATTTTGCAAAGATTCATTTCATAAAAATTTAATGTCAACAAGAAATTTAATACAATGCGAGTAAAAAAAAAAGTTTGAATGATTGAAAACATTAAAAGAAAAGTTTGTAAGTTGCAGGTGAACATAGGTAAATAGTAATTTATTACTAATTGTAATTATTATTTTAAATTTTGATTTATAATTGCAATTTAAATTAGATTATATTATTATATATTAAAAATTATATTATATAAGTTAACACAAAAAATATTATAGGTAGTTTAAATAGTAATTTATTATTAATAATTTATATGCTAATTGTATTTATTATTTTAAAGTTAGATTTATAAATACGATTTAAATTGTATTATTTTAAGTTAACCTAAAAAAATTCTATAGGTATAATTTGAATAGT